TTCTTCAAAGGGAATTTGAGTAAAGTAATAAGTATATAAATTTGTTGCGGTTTCATGGATGAGTCTTTACATTAAGATAAAACTATCCCTATATCGTTGACATTACTGACAAGTAACACTCCGATTTCAGAGAATTTCGATCAAAAAGAATTATATTCGTAATTGATCTGGAAAGGCTGTAAAAGTTGATCCCTATGCATAATTGTGATCGAATTATGGTATTCATCGAGCAACAACAGTATTTGCTCATTTGTTTGTTCAGAGATGGTTTCATATTATTAACTTATACACTACACCTTTTTCCGAACAATGTTATTATAATTACCGTGTACGGAACTACTCCCGCATTCGGTTCTTTTTTGAAGCCATACCTGCGGCGCACCTCAATAGGATCATTCACGGTCATAAGAAGTCACAAGAAAATGCGCTAATGGGTGACGTCGGCAAAATAGAAGCAGTGCTATGGTTCCTTTATAATTTATTCTAAATTATGGTATGTCTTCTAGCGCATCCATCTGGAATGAATTCTTTTTTCGATGAAAATGTAGATAAAATGTGTGCGTAAAGAGTTAACCTCAGGAATTATCTCCCTGATTTCAATATTGTTGTATTATTTTACGTATCATTTCGCTTTTTTTTACGGCCTTAAACCATTTCAGAATTATTGATTGTTCGTAAATTGAGCTATAGTTTATTTCGTATGACATATTTTTCAAATCGACGTCAATTCAATAATGGTCGCAATGACATACATATTATATAGAGTTTGTGATAAAAGGATGACGCCAATGAAAATGTGTAAAATGAAGATAGATCGATCAGTAGTGATTGGCAAATGTTGAAATTTAGAATGAATTGAATTTGAGAAAGCCAATTTAAAGACAAATTAAGTGGTAACCATTTTTCATTAAGCAAATCACGTCATAAAGAGACACGAGACTATTTCTTGTCTTAGTAGAATGAATGATTCTCTTCCTAAATGGAAGCCGCCCTGTTATTGTTCAATTAAAGAAAAAATATACAGACATCTGCCATTTCATTACATGGCTTTTATGATTGCATAATCTTCTCTCTCATTATTTTCCATTTTTCTTCTAAAACACAAAGAGAGAGAGAAGACGAGATAACACCTTGTTACAGTACAGTTACTCATTACTTTCCTATATCGAGTTCAAAATTTTGAAGTTTATCAAGTTCATTCTTATAAAGAATGAGCTAATGAATAATTTCATTCAGTTTGCAATTCTCATATATACGTTGCTGTGAAGGGCAAAAATTATTAGGACATTAAAAATAGTGTTTAACTTTTCAGATACTGATTAATTTATTATCAATGTTGAAACTTCTCATTTTTAATAAACTAGGATTTGACCAAAAATCGAAAATCGACCGGCATGTCACACGGAATAATTCCCTTCTAATTTTACTATCTTCCGTGGCAGTCCTCTTCTATTTTTCCCTTGTTGTATGCATTCTCTTAGAGAGTCCTCTCGACATCCCCAATCATTTATTAAACAATTGCCCCCGAAGTGGTATTATTAAGTAATTTTGTCAGCAAAAAGCGAATAGCATGAATGTTATAACACATATGCATGCGCATGTTTGACCTATCCTCTAACCATACTGTTTCCTTTCAACAATACTAATTTACTGGAAATTTAACCCAATAAAGCGGACATCAATGTCTTCCTTCTCTTGCTTATCCCATTAAATTATACATACATAACACCAACGCTTTATTCATTTTCAGTTTTTATTTCATTTCCACCGTTCTTTCTATTTTTTCTTTTTTCATAAAGAAGCTAAATCTGAATCTCACAAAATTGATGCATCATTTGTAGCATTTGAAATTTTCTTCAACTATTCCCTTCTCTTAGAAACACTAATTTACAATGATATAGAATTCAGTTTGTTACCTGTTGATATTGTTGATGAATGATACTTCAAAAATATCATAAGATAAATTCAGGATGAAAAAGACAGCTTAGTAGTTTTTTGTTCTCAATATGCTGTTGCATCCAGGTGATATTCACCGATGCTTAAACGAGTGTAATGCAGGAAAATACAATTGTAATATCAAAAATCGAGTAATACACAATTTATAATGAACTTTCCAATTCATGAAAACTCTGCTTTATTTTGATATAATTATCGTTGTTCTCGAGTGACCAAGCAGAACACAAGTTCGGATAAACATTTAAATATGTGATAAGGAATGGATCGATCATTTCTTGTCAAGCTGTTCATCGGCTGTCACAAATAGTAGTGCATCCTTTTTTATACGTCTTCATTCCTTGACATCTAAACCACTGAAATATCTCGAATTACTTCCTCATCCCTTGTCATCACTCTTATCACAATCATCCATTAAGAGTAATAATATATCTTATTACATTTCTCCTTTCTCTTTACTTTACTCTGGGTGGCAACACAAATATCCATCCACATCTGCTCATAGACAGAAATGTAAAGATCAAATTCTGCACATGATATAGAATTTGTGGACATTTTGGATTACACTACTAATTCAAGCCAAGTAAACACAGACAGATACATACATACATACAGCACATACATGTAATACGGAATAGTGATACACAGGAAATCGTCGTCTATTATAATCAGTTATCATCCTTTATCAGTATTTTCACTGGGTGAGTTTCATCAATGGGTTGCTTGAAGAAAGATTGGCTTTTTTTGAAAACTATTAAATAACAGTTAAAAATCAGTGGTAGGTAAAGGATAACTGTTATCGTCAATATGAAGTGAACAGATTTATCTAAATGAACAAAATAAAAAAATCCACTAAATTAATAGTGATACTTCACGAAAAAGACAAAACAACAATTCTTATAATTAAATCTTACTTTAAATCCCCCAATAACTCATCGTTACTTTTTTTTTCCTCTTTACTACAGTTTCTCAACAATCTCCAAGTAAAGACAACCTGCCACAATTGAATGATTATAGGATGAGTGGATAAAAGCAATACCGCGTACAAATAGGGCCACAAAATGATTGTCAGAAGCAACTGTTCGCAGGGCTTGTAATTATTTTCTTCTGATTTATGCTTATTTTAGGATTCTAATAATAATATAATATGAACTGCTTGACTTTACCTGATACGTAGTATCCTAAAACACTTACTTTTTTTGAAAGTTGAACTGAGCCAGAAACGTAGACTATTTAAGTAATGCTAATTGATATAGTGATAGTTTGATATGGGTGAAACATGGGAATTCGACCGAAATTGTTGATATCTAATGATTCTAATAATAATTACTTCTGCAAAAAGTATCTGTCACTTTGCAGCATGTCAATTAAACTATCGTTTGGACAGTCATGCCTAATCTACATATCTTTTGAACTTCCTCCAGCAGATTCAGGAATTTGGATTAAGATAGGGAAGTTCTTTATAAAATATGTCTTCCACTTTAACTTGTTTTTAACAGTTCGAAAAAAAATTTTCTATATGATTATTGCACATACACTATTTGATGTATTTTCAGTCCTGTTGCTGGATATAATGGCTTTCTTCCTGAGAGCATTAAAAGCTTCCAGCCGATTAGAAAAAGTCTCGTTCTAGCTCACATTATTACATTAACGTTGATTTGTTAACTCCTTATTGCCATTTTACAAAAATGCATTTAAGATAAGTCGATAAATCAGAATCATGGTAAGTCTGAATTTGCATTAGCATTGTAGAAATTGCAAATTTCTTCAGTTAAATTTAGTTTAATTCAAATTCAAGGAAAAAGTATAAAACTTAATCATTTCAACGTAGGAAATTCAAATTAAAACAGACAAAGGTCAAAAAAATTGTTTAGTGCCACGGAGTTTCTTAGAATAATGTCATTCTGGTGCTACCACAGGAAAAATCCGGATCCAGAAAGCTTTCAAGCAAACGATTATATATATATATATATATATATATGCTTTATATGTTCCTATCTCTTTATCTCTATTAACCTTGCGCAAGATAAGAGCATACCTGAAATATCTTTCCCAGAATTAGAAAAATGGATTACCAAAATGTTATACTGCTATTTGATGATAATTTTTTAAAATCTTGAAAGAATAGCCTAGTTAATTGACCTTTCATTTCAAACACACATAAGTTACTGAGATATAATTGTAAATGGAAATTTGAGACAAACGCGCAAATAGAAATTTGAAACAAAAATAGTTTCACTAATAATTTGCATCACTAAAATTTAAAAGAAAAAATTTATACCAACAAGAAAAAAGATTACAAAATTTGCAGTATAATCATTTATAACAAATTATTTTGGTTATAGCTTAAGAATCTTTTAATTTAAATTCCATGATATTTTGTGAATCTTTCATTCATACGTTTTCTATGAAAAAATCAGACATCTTTCCTACAATGAATTAAGTCTAATTTGCACAATGGAAATTTAGAAATTTGAAAAATTAGCTAAAAAATGATAAATGCAAGAAAAAATATCGGCAACATCGGCATCTATAAACTACTGTTATGTACAACAATGTAACAACAATAAAGCAATATCCCTGCATTTTGTACTAAACAAATATTTCATCAACTTTTTTTGACACTAATATGAAATATAACCGTCACCGACAACAGCAGCGTAAGGATTTATCCATAAGATCTCGGAAGCAATTCTGGAAATCTCCTCATTTGTTTAAAAAAACTGATGAATTTGTCACTCTCGGTTCAATTCCAGATTGGAACTGCATCTTGAAAAAAAAAAAAGGATTTTAAGCAAAAAGCAGTTACAAAGTGCTGAGGTAGTAGGCAAAATATGTTCGAAATGAATAAATTATTTGAATACGCACCTAATTACAGCATTTAATTGTATTATATTTTAAATTGTAAGTTGTATGACACAAATTGTATTGTACTGTACCAATAAAAAACAAAAAACTTTTTTTGTTTTAAATAAGAAGACAATCTTTAGCACTAAGGAGATTTTTCATAAGTGAAACTGATGGATTTGTACGGTCGTAGATATATTCTACTCGCTGCATGATGGCGATGATAAATCAGAAGCATTCACTTGAGGCGAAAATTCGAGGTCTGTGCCCATATTGACCGAGAAAAGATGATTGTTTGGTCCGGTCGCGGACATCATGTTACTATAACCACTGCTACTCAAATCGTTCCCCAAATCTGCATAGTGAGGTGGCGGTGGTGGCATCTACAAACAATTGGCCACGATAATGCATTAGTTTCAAAAGTTTTTCAAAAGAAAAAACTTCTATAATAAATTATGAGTTGAAGTAATAATGAAATTAATGTAGTTGGAAAATAAATGCAATCAAAATATTTAATTTAAGATTAGAGGTGGTAAGCTAGATTGAATACAATTTCGGATCTGAAAAGTCAGTTTTTCAGTTTATAGAAATACTCTTTTGCAATGTGTGAATTTTTGATTAAATCATGTTCACCTTAATTTGATGAATTCAGAACTGTATCTCAACTTCACTCTTAGCATAATATGCTAGTTTTTACGAAAGAAAATGATAGTTAAGTCAAATTTATTTAAATATCTTGATAAAAGGGAGTAGGGAGTAGGAGAAAGAAGGGATAACATTTGAAAAGGTGTTATTAGTACCCTCTGCTTACTGAAGAGAGGAAGTGATGCAAATAGTTCGCGAACTTTGAAGTATGTTTGCGCAGCTGTTAGCACGGTAAGAACGGAATACAGGAAGTAAAGCAAAGAACTGAGCGCGCATATGTCATGCACCAAATACAAAAGTCAGTTGTCCTATACTATTATTTTACTTGTCGGAACTCTAGATGACCCACAGCCATACTTTCTAACAAGTTGTACTTTCAAGTTAAAATAAATAGCCCAATGCAAGAGTAAACTAGAAATCACTAATCATACTGCAAGATTTCCTTCATTTCTTTGGCTTTTATAAATGGAAACAACTGAGAACTTTGACATATTTCCATTTTGTCTTCAAAAATATCCGTCAAGTTATTATCAAATTATTTTTTAAAAGTCTTTCATTTAAAAAATACAGATGCTTAAAATGAGACTTAAAATCATACAATTTGAGCATATGGTGAAGGCTGTTGCAATGTGGACTGCTGCAGTGATGCATGCTGAGGTTGTGGCATGCCTCCTTGAGCATTTATAGCTTCCAAACCAGACCATATATTCGGATTCTGTGGAAATTGGTGAATATCCACGGGTTGGATGCCGATTAAGTTCGGGTCACTATGTGGTGTTGGTGACGCAGCTATCAGTGGACCAACTCCGCCCAATCGTACCCCCGTAATAGCTCTTTCCTGAAAAAATATCTTGCAAAATATCTGAAAAATATCTAAGCCAATCAATAAAAAAACAATTTCATCACAAAAACAATAATCGTAATTCATACCTATCAACAATCATAAATTAACACCACTGATGAATAATACAGCATAATGAAAATTTATTAAACAGTGATAGGGATCATTAGTTGCTCCTTAATCTTTGAATATAATTAAGCTTACTAATTGTACATCTTTGATAACCTTAAACTTGGATAGAAAGAGACATATCTTTTCACAATTCACGGTCTAGAAATCTTTTTTTTGAATCCATTAACACAGAGGGAGTCCCCGAGATAAAACATTACATTAGATGAACTTAGCCATGTTCGATGTTAGATGATATGGTTTTGCAAGGAATTAGACTCTGAATATCGATCTAATGAACTTAAAATCCTATTCCCTTCCTATTACGAGTAACGAAACCAATACATAAACAAAAATAATTGTCACACAACATCATTCAATAGATATGAAAACGCACCATATTTCAATGTATCGCACTTTAACTCATCTATAAGATCAATAAGTAATAACTGTGCAAAATGATAGAATCAGTTATTATCAAATGTTAGGAGAGGTAATTCAGTGAAGATCTCCAGCTGAAATACTACAGACTTAATTTCAATCTAATTTAAATTTTAATTTAAACCCTCAGCACACAAACAAATTCGCATCCTTCAACAATTCTGTATTTTTCTAAATAAATAAATATGGGTAATTTTGCCATTCCTCAACCATACACAATCATTCCACGAATTACATCATTGATGTCATTATCGCAGGAAGTAATTTCATCTGTTGGAAACCTGGAAAGGCCTTGATACTAGTGGTTCTGCTTATTGTCAACTTCTCTTCTAGGAATGAATTATCATTCACGCTTTCAAGTTGTCATCTATAGGTTGACAAATGAGAGAGAGGTGTGCATGGCCTCTTCCGCTTCACTGGGTTAAAATGTGAACCGCTGAAGTGCTTCATTTTATTACGGTATTTGAATTTGGGCCTATGGCTCACTTGTTCACTTCAATGCCCTAACGCACATATATATATGTATAACACTGATTTATTTCATTGTCCTAATGCGCAGTGAACCGAATTTATATATATAGAAGCATGCGCAAATATGAGTGCTCTCATTTAAATGAAATTTTTTTTCTAAATTGAGTAAGAAATGTGTCTATTAGATGATATTTAATGAAGTGTATGCTAAAAGGAGGCGAATTGAAAGTTAAATTGAATAATAATTTGGAAATTTTGATAATTTCAATGATTCATTAAATTTAATTTATGAAAAACTAGTTTTAACAGAACTAATAGAGCTAAAGGAACGGCGCTTTGCATACGAATGACACTTAGTTATGCTTTCCTTTTTAGGCCTTATTTCCTTCCAATGCATCGGTCAAGTAGTTTTCTTCCTCTTTTTTCCTTCAGTCTCTTCAAAAGAAACAATTTACGAGTGTTTATCAAAAGTCATCAATATAAACACTTCAATCACGATGCAAATTACTGTATTCGAAATAAAAAGAAAAAAGATAAGCGAAAATTATTTATGATAGATAGGCATTTATGTATTAAATGAATTGAATGAAATTTCATCCTGTCCTTTTTTTGAGGGGTAATTTCATTTTTTTTTTTTTTTTTTTTGACAAAAATTATTAAATGGAGTGGAGAGTTTCTTGAGATTGCAACTTATTTTTCAACTCTTTTAAAACTCACTTCACTATTTCATTTCTTTTCCATCAAATAAAAACTGATAATATCGAAGAAAAAAGCTTTATCCATCGTTCCACCTGTTTCCTATTGCCCTGATTGTTTATTTTAAAAACGATAGAATTGCAAAGTTGTCCTGAAATCAAACCAATATGCTACTAAAACTTAAACGACCTAAGAGAGCTCAAAACTACCAGACACTATCTTTGATTGAAGTAGTTCGCAGGAAAATATTGACGGTGAAATGAAGAACTAAGGCTTGTTAAAATATTTGTCCTTCGTCATATTAATTATTAATCAGTAAATTAATTAATAAATAATACGAAATATGATCGAAATTCATATTTTTTTTTTTGATTCTAATTGATAACTAGTTTTCCCGCATTTCAATGTATACAAACTATCATCATTTGTTTGTTTAATATAGATAAAAAAATGAGGCATATGGCCGTTTGCTTAAGTACCTAGAGAGATCGTTAAGAACTATATAAGCTATTCCAGAACATATGCTCACTCAGATAACTCTTCCTCATCTCATCTTTCCATGCTAATTTATTTAATTTCTGGTTAGATGCTAATGATTCATATCCTTCAATTCCTTTTTGAATTTGAAATTTAAAAACGTTTCATTTCATCGAAATTTAAACTTATTTCAATATCGGCTTAATTTCAATTTCACCGAGCATTTTTTTTTATTGTTACTACTCAAATTTCAAGTTTTTTTGAAAATAGCTGGAAACATTAGTATGCACATATAATATTGAAGGTGAAAGTCATCACTGAGGATGAGAAAGTTCTAAAAAGGTTGAATATGGCAGAAAGTTATTCTCACAGTCAACAGTTAATCGATAAGCTATGAAATTTATTGTTGATGTTCTCAGATGACCTCTCGCTGTGGTCATCTCACATATTTTATTCTGATAAGATCTTAACATCTTCAGTAGCAGTAGTGTCACATATGTGTTCACATACTGTTTCTCTATCAAATTCTTCCCAGCAGCAATTCAACTGTTAAACAAGAATGTGTGAAAATAAGTAAAGCATTGTAATCTTAGAATAATACAGCGTGAGAAGGTAATTAGTTTTCTTTTAAACTATTCAAATATTTTCTTAAATTTCATTTTTCACTTTTAGTTGATATTTTATTTTCTATTCAATAATAGATTTTGATGCTAAATAGTAATAAGTAATTTGGAAAAAATCATTGTAGATATCATAAATTGTAACTCTATTATATCAGAAAAAATATGCAAAATATTATGGAAAAACTAGAATTGTCATCAAATATGTTATCAGTTATATATTACCAGAAAAAAGTGTTATCAGCTATATATTATCAAAAACCAATGATAATGTCAATCGAACATAGCAGAACAAATGTCTATTTGTCGTTTTGGTCGGTCATCCGTATGTGATCAGTTTTCGTTAGGAAATTTTGTCCAGGTGGCGTTAACATTCAACCTACACACACACAGATACAACAAATACATACACACATACATGCATACAAATGGACCACAATCCCATCCTGTAGATAATTTATGAAATTAATTTATGAAAATTAAAAATTTTTTATTGGCTTTTGCTTCTGTTGTTCAAATATTTACTTTTTATTTTAAAGTATTTTGGCGATAACTAGGCAGAGTGTTGGCTGGTTATAGGTAGAAAGAAGATACGACTCAAAATTGGACGAATCAAAATTATGTTTGCATTTATCAGTCACCACGATTATCATAACTATTTTTATGTACCGATAATCATGGAAAAAGGCTTAGGCAAGCGAAATATAGCTACTTAAGAAAAGTGTTTTATAATGATTCCCAAAGGTGAATATTTCTTCACAACTTCAAATTAAATTTAACCTTAAATTTATTTGAGACTTTCTTCCTTAAAAAATTCCCTCCATTGTGTTGAACACAACTATGCAGCAATATCCCTAAATTTTGATTATATTTATCTACTAAACTCTTGATTTATTCCCTTGAAAAGATTAAAGGGTACAAAGAAGCTATGATTCTATTTATACTTATCTGCATTATTTAAAAATTTCTATAAATTACCAATGTACTTTATATATTTCCAATAATTGATTACTACTTGATTAAATTCAACCTAAAACAAACAAAAAAATGAACATGTCATGATTTAAAGATAGCAACTATCGGCTGATTGACTTGACTGATTTTTTCTCCTGGTGATACTTTTCAGTGAGTAACGTTCAATAAAGTATGAATGGTATAAGACCTTTGACATTTAAGGAGACGATGGACAGTAGAAGAACCATTCAATTAAGTAAACAAATGCATGCATGCGTATCACAAGAGAAGCTCAGTGATTCCAGGAATGCATGGTACCAGAAGATATACAGTGGATTTATCAAATATATAACTTCCAAGAAAGCCGCAGTGAATACAAAAAATCAGATTATTTTCTAAAACTAACTGTTTCGGCCTTCTGTTGTAAATGTTTCATTGCAATTTGTCGCTTCTTATCTTTGCAGCGTTTGTTTTGGAACCATACACGTATCACACGTGGACTTAGACCTATGAAAATGTTGTTGTAAATAACTTTATTTTTACAAAATGTATTGCTGATTATTTTGCATACTTAAAATTGATGTTATCCATTAGTCACTCCTTCACAAATGATAAGAGCTAATTTGAAGTAAACAGTAATGTTGAAAACAATATGAAAGAGTCAAGTACCGGTCATTTCGACGAGGTGTTCTTTCATCATAGCATCTGGCCGAGCATTAGCCGCATAGCATGCTTTGAGGGTCATTAGCTGCTTCTCATTAAGGACCGTTCGAACTCTAGTCGACTGGAAAGTCAAAAATCGACTAAATCATTTGATGAAATTTTAAAAATAAACTACGACACTTTTCATCCAAAACATGATATGAGTTTAAAAAAACCCACAAAAGTTCTAATTTCATCTTTTTTCTTATAAGAACAAAAAAAGTCACTTGTTTGTCCTTCTTGTTCTTTTTCATTTGTGATTTCGAACTATTAAATGTAGTTACAATCTGAAATTCACGATAGTAGTTTATCAATAGTCCACTAATTAGAGAATTACCTTTCTTCTAAAATATTGTCAAATATGAATTACAGAACGCAATATAATAAAGATTGTATAGTTTGAGTATCATCCCAATATTCTAACTAAGCATTTCAAAACTGGCAGCACAACTAAAATATTCTGATATGATGATCTGCTGACCTTCGTTCAATCTATCTATATTTTTCTACATATGAGATATATAATTCCAGAAGAAATTATTAGGAATCATTTCAGAGCAAGGAAATTTTACAAAAGATTGAAAAAAAAGATTAAAATATCCGAGAAAAATTTTCCATCAACCTCATCTGATTTAGGACTTCGAAGTGAAAGTGGTGGGGTACTTGACATTTGATTATCCAGACTTGTCAAAGTTGAGCCGTCCCATCCATCTTCATCTTCTCGTCCATAAATATCCGTTTTGATTGAGGATGGTTGCTGTATAATAATATTTATGAGATATTATAACAAAAACAAGAAAAGAAACCTGCAATAGCTTAAATGGCTTAAATCTTATCTTTACAACGAATATGACAAGGTAATATCTTAAAGAAGCCGTTATGTCATTTCTTCTCACCTCAATATTAGTTGCATCACAATCAACACGACATAATACATCGTCTTCACGTTCTCGAAAAACGAATTCTTCTCCAACTGTTAGCTTCTTTTCGCAACTTGAGCATGAGAAGCATGCTGCGTGATAAGTTAACGTTCGTATTTTCATTACCATATCGGTCTTTGAGATGTATTCTTTGCAACGAATACATTTCTTTGCATCCGTTATCCTTAACAAAAATCTCATGTTATATGGAGAAATTTTAAAATGCTTTAAAATACTTATTATAATAGAACTTATAATAAGAAAAAAAAAAAAAAAAAAAAACTCCATTTTCAGTATTGCAGTATTCTTTCAATCATATCAAGTGCACTTCTTTTTCCTTTCCACATCCTCCTTATTCAAATCATATAATTCCAAGAATTATGCTTTTATTATCCAAGTTGTTAACTTCTAATTAAACTATACAGTTAATTAATGACGAATAATTATTGATTGGAAATTGGAAATTTACTGTCTGAGCAATGCTTTATACAGTTTCACGATACACATAATCTTTACTTTTATCTCACATTAAAAGGTTTTTTTTTTTTCAGAAATTTATCATTTTTTGAAATAAAGAATTTTTCTTTTAAATAAAGCAACTATTTCTCGTTTTTCTTTCTTTTTTTTCGACTATAAGTAATAAAAATAGAAATAAAAGAACATAAAATGAGGAAAGAAAGGCAAAAGAGTAAGATATCGATTACAGAAAAAAGGTTTATTTATGTTGAGCAAGAAATGTTTGTTTTATAACCGCCACGAATTACTGCATCCCCTTAAATAAACGGGAAAAAAAGGTGAAATGGCAGCTGCTCGAATTACTCCGTTAAAGAGGGCATAAACTCATCCATGAATTGAATTATTATTCTATTACACAGGAAAAAAAAAGATGTGTTGCAAAAATATAAAGAAAAAAAATAAAGAAAATTTTCAATTAAAAAAAAGGAACAAAGAAAGAAGGGAAAATAGATAAGAAAATAGTTTATCAGTTGATCTGTGACAATAATATGATCAAATAAGAATAAGCAAAGAATTTCTTCAAAGTTAGTTTTTCATTCTTCGTTATGAATTACTCACACAAATAATTCGGGTTTTTTCATTTTTTGCGATGACAGAAACTTTGTTTGCATTCAAAAATAAAATTTCTTTTGTTTTCAACAAACAATGAAAAGTGGAAGTTAATCTTCGATTAATGAAGGGACATAGCAGTGACATTTCACTTATAATATCGAATAACGATTTAGGAGATAGTATATGATAAATGATGTTCGCGTGCAATGAGATGTGCAATAGGCTCATATTAACTTTCAATAATTAAAAATAAATAAGACAGGAAAATATGTCAAATCTATCCTTTTCCAACTCTTTGATTTATTATATAGCATTCCTGAAAGTTTACTTAAGAGTGTCGGTATGGATTTCCTGTTATTCCAAAGCATATTCTTTTCTAATTCGGTAGATTGCATACACCAAAACGCAAGAATTGTAGTTGCTGTAAGGATTGCGTCCTAAACAGAACGAAGTCGCCTTCTATTACTATTTCCTCACCAATTGAGAAATAATTTACAAAATTGACCTCCTGATTTTTCTTTGTTTCTTGCATGGTATTCTTCTATAATCCAATTCCGCTCAAATGAAAGCAAAACTAAAAGTCACCCAAACTTCCAATCTTTAAACATTTCTTATTCTATTTATAACTCACGCTTCTCAGAGAACGTTGTAACTATAACTTTCTTCCGCATGGCCAGCTAAAAGCGAAAAACAAAAAAACAAAAACAAAAAAAACAGGAAATGTCGATTTATATTCTCTTCAACACTTATCAGATATTCAAAATTTTTTTCAGCTGAAATTTTGTATCTGCATAAAGGAGTTTGTGAAATTCTCATGTTATATTATTTGAAGGGTTGGTAACAATCTGAAATATTTGATAAAAGGAAGATAGATAAAGTTATTACTGACAACAATTTTTTCTTTTATCAATATTGTGCCATTCTCATATCTTTTTTCAATATTCTCTTTTTCAAGAACACCTTCCTCTTCTGGACAATAATGACAAGCAAACAGATTAAAATGACAAAAATTTTCCACCCCGAAACATCTATTAGACTATCACTGCGACAATAATAAATGAAAGAATCATTTTCGGTAGCTCTCGAGTTACCTCCCTTTCCTCTTTCAAAAAAAAAAAAAAAGAATATGAATAAAAATTCTCACGGCATGTGCATAGGTTTGCTTCTGTTATATTACTATGTGGTGGTGGATAGGTGAAAAAAAGGCCGAGCAAAAAAAAGGGAAGAAAAAAGGAGCGAAAGAAGATGCAAGGCGGCTTTTCTTTTTCTAACCTAGTATTCCAATTGAATGAATGAATGGACGAACGAACGAACGACCGAACGGATGATCCAGTGAAAGGTAGTACTGCTAGATGCTTCTTCTGCGTTTTTGCATAATAATTTGAATAAGGATCAGATGTGGTTGGTGTTAAACTTATAGGAAATGATAAATTACGAAAAGTAGTAGACGATATGGCTCGGTTTCCTTTCTCCAATATAATTTCATTATAATTATTATACTGCAAAGATATTTGTTGTGTTATTAATTTGAGGAGTAATGATGAACCGAATAGTTAAATCTTAACATAGACAGTTTCTCCAAAATCATCATTGTTCTTTGATCCATATATGAAAGTTATTGTAATTTTGGATGTTGAAGTTTTGAATGATCACTGAACTAAATTATTTTAAGTCATTTATCTTACCGTTGAAACAAATTTCTTCTTTAGTACGATGTTATTAAAAGTTCGTACCTTTTAAAGAACATCTAAAGTAAATTTTGTGAAAAATGACCAAAACGAAGTGATAGGTGTGTGTGTGTGTGTGTGTGTGTGTGACCGATAAATTGCATAAATTTGATTTCAAAAATTGCCATGACGGGAAAACTTTCTATCCTTTCAAGCGCTTAAAATAATGCTAAATAGCAATTTTTAATGCGAAACGTGAGCAATGCAAACCGTGGGAGAGTTGATATAATTCCTTCCATCTCTCAACTAGTACTCATCGTTCTATATTTCTCTTCTCCCGTTCTCCTGAATCCGTGGATTCCAATCAATACCTTATTGCTCCAATTTATCCCGGGTGAAAAAAAAAGGATGAAGTTGAAGTGCTTATTGTAATTTAGATCAACTGGGAAAAATATCTAAAATAATTATCTTAACAATCCTGTAGAGATAAAACTCAACATTTCTCTTTTGTCTAAATTACTACCTGTTGAATAATCTGCAACAATTGTCAAGTTATCTTATATGATTTAGATAATAATATACTGGAAACTTTAGAATAGATTTTTAATGAATTTATATTAATTCAGTGATTGTTTCCCAAATTTTTTCATATATTGCAAAAGTGGACAATTAGTTGAAATTGTTGAAAGGTTAGATGAGCCGTGAGAAAGAGAAATTGATTGATGTCGTCAAATAAGAAGAGGATACCAATCAGCTTGACATGACAACAACACCTCAAACAGAAACAGATACCGCCATCTCAAACTCCCTTGCATAATAGGATGTCACAGCAATTAGGGAGTGTCACAAGGTGTATATTGTATAATAAGATGTGTTTATGGTGGTGATCATTTGAATAGTAAATTGTCCGTCCTTCCATTGATATCACCTTATTTTAATATCTACTTACTTGGAAAATGCGATCACCTTAACTATTTTGACTATTAATTGTTTGGTACAACTAATTATCTTCTATAGTTATCCAAATATATATGACATCAATAATTGTTTAAACGATGAGTAATTTAACTTAGAAATAATAAGCCGACTCATTTTATATTTCACTCTCTTAATGTAGATAGAGCGACCGAAGCTAAGGTCAATTTTGCTTGGATCAGAAAGATGAATATTACATTTGCAATATATACATATCTGATTGCATGACATCTATTCTGCGTGATATTAGTTTGGAATTCAAAATGAGCTAAATGTTCTTCATTTCTTCCACCACAATTAATTTGTTTTCGTTTTTCTATTTATTTCAATTTAACTTTAAAATAACCAAAACATCCCTGTTGCTTGCATTTTAATTTATATGATTCAGTTGAAATGCAATATATAAATGATTGTTGACAAGTTGTATGGTGCATTCATATGTATTGTATCGAAGATCGTTGTGGATTTGCTCGTCACAAGCTGTCAGAAATGATTATCAATGAAGATTGTTGATAAGGGCAAGAAGATAATCTCATTAATTACGATAGATTAGCCTATAAGCATACTATACGTCGACAGCTTAACAATTTATATAACTGACATGTTCAATTACTAAATGGAAACAGCGAAGAATTTCAACATTGATGGCCGTTTTGTAACTTCTAAGCTTATCTATATATTTTTTCTTCACTTCTTACTGGATGATAGTAGTGTAAGAATGCTAAGTAAAAAAGAATTTAGTACCCGTAAAAGTAAACAAATCATTAAAATCTAAAAAAATTAATTCTATTGATTATAAAGCTAAGAATGCGGTATATAGCAATTAATTATAGTACAGGTCTAGAATTGAAATAGCTTTATGCTTAACGTATTTAACTTCAATCAAACCAATGAAGCCATGTATTTATTCTATCAGCAGAAAAAGCAATCTAAGAATTTTTCTTTAAAGGAAACAAAACTTATCATAACAGAGAAATATTTAAGTGCATGGAATTTATCAATGTTTCTTTTTATTGCAAACAATGAAAAGTGAAAAATTGCAAGAGAAGAAAAAAGACAGCATAATTTATATAGAAAAGCTGAAAATAACGATTAGATTGGGATGAATGAAGCTGGGAGGAACACATTAAACCGATTAGTTCCTTCCAAGCTCTCAAAAGCAGGATGGGAAAAACCGATTAACAGCAGCTTAAAACAGAAGACACAAGCGCCTAGTAAAGGATATTATTCGATATATACACATTAAGATAATTACTCATCTTGCAAGATGAAATTACAACAGCTACAGATTTCATTCAGAAATACAAATGTCTTTTTAGATGCTATTCAGTCTGATTTAAAAAAAAAAATTTCATTTGTCAAGTTTTTATTCAACTTTTCATTATAATAAATTATTAAATTTATAAAAGTGTTTCCATTTTTTTTATTTTTATTTTTATTTTTTGTTTGAAATGTGAGTTTACCTTTTTATATTATGATGAATCAGAGGATGCTTGAATGATCAATGAAAATATATTGAACACATTTATGTATGAGGTTAGGATTACATCTTTTTACTTACATCTTTTACGAAGAATTATTTATCACGTGATGCTACGTGATGTCGGAAAAGAAAGATGAACATAAATGTGTGCAAAAAACAATGAGGAATTGAAGTGGAGGAAATACGTCATTGTAGGATGGAATAAGTTAGTTATTAAGTGGCATTTACAAGTGCTCATCTGTTCCGAACATACTGCCACCGATACAATACATTGATGTTCTTTGCACTTCAACAACAATGCTTACTGGCTTCCTTTTTTAATTACTACTCAAATGTCAAATAGAAGGGACCAAGAGAAAGCAAAAGATGACTGAATTTATGAATTTAATAATAAGTTGAATATAATGATACAACTTAGTATTCCAAATTAATTTCATGGAGTAAACTGTACGACTGAAAGTAATGGGTAAGTTTGGCATCACTTTAATTCAAAAAAAAAAAAGAAAAATGATTTCAATTAATGATAAGAAACCAAAGGTCACAAACCTGATATAATCCTCTTTACAGTATGGTTTATTGTCTCGAATATATGTTGTACAACTTTCATCCAAATAACATCCGCATTGTTCACACTGCAACAATGTTCTTAATTTATCCAACTACTGATTTATAACAAAATTAGTGTGAACAAAGCATTTCGTGCATAGCTTTTTTTTTTTTCTTTTGCAAATTTGTAGAATTAATTTTTGGACTAGAATCTTCTCTTGTCAAATTCTAAATTTGACACGAACGTTTGTCTTATACATTTTTGCCTCTTAATACTCATTTACATTTATTTCATAATTGCTTTCGGGTTGTTTATCTATTTGTGAGTCCATTTTATTTATTTTAACTTGCTTATCAATTTAGTCTTACTAATTGCACGATCATCAGAAGATGAATTTGCTATCAACTGCATGCATTGCAAGCTAACATTGCATTTTATCCTAATAAGAAGTAAAAAATTTGAAATTAAGGATGAATTATGTCTCCCTGATGTTATGTCTGCAAATAAATTTCTATTTTGTTTGCCAGCATTAAAACTAAAAATTATAGTAGAATTTGATGAAGTAACACTCACCAGTCTTCCTGATAATTTAATAATTTAGCGCCGACCAGTCATCTCCTATTTCCGCCAAACTCACTCTTTTACCCCTTTTTCAAAAACCTGTTTATCTCTTTTCTCTATACTGACTTCGAAGCAATGTGCGTCTTTAGGAGGAACATACATCATAAATGTATCTCCGCCGAGGATTACGGTAATTCCCAACATGGTAAGCCAGAAGATTTCTCAACAAATAAAGAAAGATGAATAAAAATTTTTTCATTTGAAATTATTTTTAAGCAAAGTTTTACACTTGCTTTTCAATGAATGTTATGAGATACATTAGAACTTTCAGTCTCAATCTTCTTTATTCTAATTAATGATAACCTTAACTTATATTTCGTCGACTGTTTTAGCTAAAATTTTCAACTCTCGTTTATTTTTTCCTCACAAGGAGAAATTTTTACTTAGCAAATTTTTTTTTTTTATTTTTTGTTTTTTTTTTTTAGAAATTGACAGAACTAATGAAGGTTGAACTGAAGTGAGCTAGAATTGAGTTAATAAATGCGTTAATATATATTTATACGAAGGTTTTTGGCCAAGCGGTAATCAATGCAGGTGAAGCGGAAGATTAATGGTTAATAGTGGATCAGTGGACAGAACAGGTCGTGGAATCAAGGGCATTTGATGAAAGAATTAAAACTGAACACGCAACATCACATCAATGATTTATTTTATAGTGGTATCCAAAATATTTTCTTCCACACTAGAATATATGTTGTAGTCGCACCAATGAATATTAAACATAATAATATTTAAGACAATTAGAAATGAATAAGATTAACTTATTGAAATGTTCTACACTATTCGACGCCTAACTTTAAGCTTAATAATACTTGACTTAGCAAACTTCATCTAATTTCATGCAATCATCATTACTATAAGCATAATTAGCAAACAAGCGGATGATGCATTAAGTTAATCGTTGTGTAAATAAAAGGTAAAGAACAGCGTTTAGCAACGAGCTAAATTAATAGGATGTGACCTAAAATACGACAAGTGCCATCTTGCACCTTATACAGATTAACTCTACTTGGAAGTATTACGTAATTAACTAATAAAAGCTATTTCTTAACATTTGTTACATCATTCTTGAAGATGAGTCTAAGTCTGAACAAGAATTAGCATTATATTTTCAAGCATTGGTACTTCAGTTTATCCGTTTATCCTCTTAATAAATCTTAAAATATTCACATTACAATCATTTCGATTAATTGAATTACATTGTAGTTGAAATTTACTAAAGTTAACATATAATGATTTAAAACAAACCTTAAGACATCCAGCGTGAAATTCGAGATCCGGACTGACACGTAATACAAATGGGTCACGTATTTCTGAAAGAAATTTTGCTCACTTCAAATTTTAAGAATTCGAACTTCTTTTTTCGTTTTTGTTTGAAATTTACATATTGTTGTATATATGAAAAAGTAAAAAAAAGAAAAAGTTGGGTCGGAAATGCTTGTTTTCGCCGATTTATGCTCTAAGTTTAATCGATGAAAGCGTGTGAAATGGACTATTTTAAATTCTCAAACTGTTGGATTATTTAAAATAAAAAATTCATGAATTTTATGTGAGCTCGAAGCCATACCTTGCAAGCATCCGATACACAATCGACATCCTTGCTGTTGCTGCCTCTGCCCCTCTGATCCTGCGAATTATTCATTATAATATAGCTTTTATTTAGTTCAAGCGATTGGCAGTGGGAAAAACTGCCAATTGCTTGTAGCTATTGGATTTTTCGAATTTATAATTCTAGTTTCAACTAATGATATTTTACTGATTTTAGTTACAAAGAGTTACAGTTATTGATAAGAGATAGGTAATGTTGATACAGTGATGCAATGAAATTAACATGCAAATGATTCAGTGCATATGCAGCGATGAGGCGAATCTGTTTGATATGATACAGATCACGGAAAAGTGACTTATAAAATGGTTTAAATTGATTAAATTATGCATGAAGTGGAAAATAGCAGAATAATTCAAATTATAATATTTAAAAAGAAATCTCCAATCAATGTATGTATTTCTTAGCGATGACAATGAAATCAGTTAATATTTAGGAGACTCATTTTGAACTACAATTTAAAGATTTAGTGCAAACAGTAGAAGTTAGTGAATTTAAAACCCTAATTAACACTTCCATAAATCAATCATGGTTGGAACCAGATGTTTTTTTCTAGAATTATTGGCCAAGATTAAAGTGCCACTTTTGGGTTCTATTTTTAATGGGCTTCAAATGACCTTCTAAAATACTATACTCGATTACCAGCTCTATCCTTTTCAATATGCACAACATTAGCTGAATCGAAGACTTTTATGTTTCAATGAATTCTAATATTTAAACCTTTCAGGGTTGTTCATGGACTAGCTAATTCTTTACAGTTTAGTGAGACAAGTTACCTAGTCTATCATGACATAGTAAAGCTGTACGAGGGATGAATGTTTCTGCACTTACTTCATAAATTCATTTTCCTGAAAAATTGTAGCTCAGTAAGATTTTCTCTTACCAATTTAAGCAATTTCCTGATTGTCAAGTTGAAAACAACATGAATTGATGAAATACGACATGAAATGATGAAAATACGACGTAGTGATACTATTCCACTGTACCCTGACATTGAACATAAGTAATTATGCAAATATTGGCTCAATCAGAGATGAAAAGGAATAGACGGTTAAAATGGTAAGCCGGTTGTCATATCTGAATGCATTTGTCCTCCCGTTTAGTGCATCTTATGATTTTCTCCTTCTGCATTTCTTAAAGAAGGTATGAAATGATACATTGGGGAAATCAAAGTTATACTTAGTTCAGTTACTCTAAACTTTCACTTTAATCTATCGTAACTAGTGGAAAAATAATCGAGAAACGCTGAATTTAAATTTCATTTTCTCTTATTAGAGTTTTGTTATTAGAATGTATCTTTGAACATAACAAAAGCCTACTGTTTTTTCTTTTTTAATAAATAATGAGAAAAATCAAGTGAAAAAAAATTTTAGTGCTTTATTTTTTTTCAAAAAAAGCTAAATTTTTTCAGATCAATAACTTGATAAGTGAAAGAAGAAACTAAAATCGAATGTGGTGAAATTAAAATTACGGAAGAAGCTGACGTCAACTGATGTTGAAAAAATTTTCTTTTAAAATGAAAATTTGTTTTTTTTCTTTTTCAAGAAGGAAGTGATAATGATAAAAAGTATGGTTACGACAAAAATCCGTTTGAAAAGACTAGAAAATTTCTTATTTTGCTTTTTGAAAAAAAATCACTGCCAATGCAACCTCAATGACATTAATTTCTACAATCAAATATATCACTTCATGAATATTGGGAAGTAATTATTTGAAAATTAACTTTACGTGGTATCTTTTATATAAAAGATTGTTGAATTTTTCAAAGGTTGTGAATAAAAACACACCTCCCTCTCTCTCTCTCTTCATTTATTAAAACAATTATTCGATGATTAAAGATCTATTTTTGCTGCCATATCGAAATTTACAAATTCATATACAGGCACTTCTTTCTTTAAAACGAGGAAGTTGATAATAGGTAAATAAGATTTAGATTGATAGTAGATAAAAGAAACTGAGGCAAACAGAGACTTGTGTCATAAAACTTCTGGCAATCTTACAGTCCGATCTTGGTAATTTGGAACAAGCAATTGGTTTATTGACTAAATTTTCTTTTACAAAGCTAATACAACTGTTATTAATATAGAACCAAAATATCGATAGGTTTAAGAGAACACCTGCTGATTATTCATAGAAGGTGATATTGCTTTTGATATTAAAATATGAGATAAAATAAAAGGTGAAGTTTCAAGAGAAACTAACTTAGTTGAGTTTCTAAGCCACTGTCGATCTTTCCAATTGTCATGTTGCCATTACTGGTACTATTAGTATCAGCTGATGTAACAACAACTAATGAGTAAGAATCAGCAATAGATGGATGCTGGTCATACATAATGCAGTCCGAGTAGTCGATAGCAGGAACTGTCGCTACTGCAGCAGAAGATGTCGTAGGTATTTCTTTATCACCTGAGCCAGAAGAGAAGCCCGAATGACCGGCACTGCCACCGCCACCACCGCCACCACCACCGCCACCACCACTACCGCTACTGGTACTATTAGTATTATTATTGCTACTGCTACTGTTACGACTATTGCCGCCTACAGTAGCTCCTTGTTGCAACTGCTGTGGCTGATGCGGTACTTTTTGTGGCTGCGTTATTCTGATACTTTGTTCAGGTTGGTGCTGATGTTGGGTATCACAACGTCGAAAAATACCGCGGAAAGCAATTAGATTTGTGGCCAGTTTGCCTCACTTCCACTGTTATTGCTTTGTTTCTTTTTGCGCCAATATAGAAAGTGTCCAAAATGGATTCACAATAGGAATAATACGAAAGGAAATCCAGAATGAAAGAGTTAGTTAAATAAAATTATTGAAGCAATTCAGAATGACCCCGTAAGTGAATAAATTGTGAGCTCAGAAGTTCCACTGATTTGCTAATAATGTATTTCTTCTGCTTCACCCCAAGATTATTGGTAGTTGTCGATGGTATCAACCTGAAATTAAAACTTTTGAACATAAAGCCCGAAAACTTTTAAGTATTATCCAAGCTATAATCCAAATTTAGAAAACTGAAACAAACAAAAAAAAAAAAAAAAACGTTACAAACAGAAATACAGCATATCATTTTTACCTGACTTAGTAGGAGAGGTCAAGCAAAGGTTATGAGAAAATCACATAAAGAAAAAGGATTGCAAGCTGTTTTAAAAAGTAATAATTATTAACAGAATGTACAGTGATCCAACTCTTTTTAACGATTGATTTCACACCAATTAAGTAAGAATAATGCTTGGCTTAGAATTCTATGAAGAGAATTACGAAATTAAAATGATTCTTAATTGTTAGAATTTCGAAAAGGATTTTGTGAAGGTTTACCGGAATTCAGGACAGTGCTGGATAATAAATATTTGAAAAGAAATTTAAATTAAAAGTTGAAACAATGAAAAAAAAGGCGTTGAATGATAGAATAATGATTTCAGGAATTTAGATGAACACTTGAGCCAACATTAACAGCAAGCAACACAATATCACAAAAATCGCCGGAGCACTAGCAGAGAGAATCGGAATTGAGGAAGAGAAGCTATGCCTTGCCCTTCCTTTTCTAACCACCATCGAGGTCCCACCCTCTGATCGGTTCTGCGGGATACGGTAGTTAGATAGTTAGGCAGGTAGGATTGATTCTCAGCTTGCTCCACTCCTCCCACTAATGATTATGATGAAGAAACAACGCGACATCATCGATGATAGCGACTTGCGACAGCAACTGCGACAACTATGGTGACTGTCACTCATTCATTCATTTTTAGTGTATGCAAAGTCTATCTGGTATTAGTCTAGTAGAAATCTGATTATAATGCGGTTAAGATAAGAGATTAAGATAAGCTTTTTACTGATAAGATGGAAGTGACAATGCAACCTGCGACTAAGGGACTCTGCGATTTAGAAGAACTTGAATTACACCTGATTTATCTGTTTGTTAAGATTGTAAACAGAGCGGAACCATTTTAATGGTTAATGATCAAAGGCAGCTTTGTCGCTGATTGCAAATCACGAAAGGGAGTGTATAGAACGGAGGCATTTGTTTAAATCAACAACTTATCACCAGTTTTTGTGATAAAGTTATATGAAGATTAATTGAGTCATGCAATTATCCCTTATCACTAATACAGTACTTTATTTAATGTAAATCATATTAGAAATAGTTTTCCAATGAAATAATGAATTAAGACGTTAAATGACCTTCCATCACTGATAATTTCATGTACTGTCGTGACAAAAGATTGGCAAAGGAAAAGAATTTGACATAATTCAAACAGACCGTAGATGGAATTTCATCTAAACATATAAAACAAAACATTTCATCAGTATTTCAAACATTTATGCAATAAAAACTAAACTAAGAGAAGGAAATACTTTTTTTAGAAATCGGTTGATGTTATGAGAACTTATTTTATTTAATCAATGGGAAAACAAATTTATTTGATTTGTATGGCCGTTCGAAGAGAATGGTAAAATTCATGTGCCGTTGATAAAAAGAGCATTTTAAACACCCATTTTAAGAATAAAGTTCCAATTAATGAAAAGCTAAGTTAAACAAGTTTAAGATAACAAAATTTATGCATTTTCGTCCCATTTTGATAGTTATAAAGCTAATTTAATGTTAAAATAAAAACATTTTTTAATACACTAAATGAAATCTTTTCTTTATAAGACTAAATCCGAATTTTAAATCTTTTCCAAGGGATATAATTACATGACAAAGACAATTAATAACTTTGTCATTTGTGTGACTATTTTCAAATTAATCTTTCATGAAGTCAACAACGAATATCTGCTTAATGTATTTTTAAATTTTCTCTGAGTTCTTAAAATGTTAACTGTATACGTAATATGTTCCATAATAATACTTTTCATAGCACAAAAGAGCTAATTTTAAATAAGAATTAAATCGTATTGAAGTTGGGAAGTAAATAGAAGTAAAATGTTGAATCCAGTCAAAAACTTTTTTTTCTAGTTTGAACAAATCTTATAATTAAATAAGTCTAACAAAAATTGTTATAACATGTAGCAAAATCTTCAGTTCAATGATAATTTCAAAAGGATATTGGATTTTGGGGAAATGTCATCAGTATTATTGCATGACAACGCTCTCCTAGCAATGATGAATGAATATCTGTTGCAATTTATAAAAAAGGAACATCCATAAATATAACTCTTTTTTTTCATCTATAGAGTCCAACATTTTGTTAACGTGTTGCTAACCAACTGATTCTGTTATTTATCATTCGATAAGATTATATAAAGAAAAAAGCAACGGACCTAAATATCTATTTACTCATTTTCGTACCATTGTTTTTTTTTTTTTTGAAAAATGCTAATAATTTAAGCATTTTTTTTCTTATTCTTACATGCATTATTTAATACAATATTTAAATTAACATAAATTTCGGGATGTGTTTAGTCATTAGTCTTATGGTATAATAAGCACATGTACAAATCAAGCAGGTAAATAAGATGTAAAATTGAAGTGAGTGTGATATTATCAGTTTGAATTTAAATTTATGTGCTAATTGTATTTTGCTTATCTAACAATTTTGGCTGTCGAATCAGTGTGTTTCTTGATTCTTTTTGACTTCAACAGTAATTCATTAATATTACTTCGCATTTCATATATCATTTATCATAAAAGAAATGTATGAATTATATTGCGATTTCATTTGCTATGATAACAATGAAAATTGCAATAATGAAAACCATAACATTGATTTCAATTGCATTAACAGTAACGATAATGTTTGTTGCATTATCATTGATTTAGAAGTAATGATAAATGATGGTAGATGAACTGATCATAACTACTATTTTAGTGATAGTACTAATTAATGTTGGTGATAATTAATGCAGTTTATTTATCGTTCTACTTGAAAATTTCATTTTTGTTGTGAACATTGAAATAGATAATTATGGTGCATTACTGATGCAGGCGATGCTATTAGATCAATATAAAATTTCAAATCAAGAAAATTACTTTTATTTATTTCTACTTTGAAGTAAAGTACAAAATCTTGGTGCTAAACTGTCACACAGTTATAATTCCTTTAGTGAAAGAATGAACGATATACGATATTGGCTGATGCCGTGGATGCGAAATGATTCACTTCAATAAAAATCTATTGAAATTGTTGCGCACATCATTCAGCTAATTAGTGTAAGTAGTCTCAGCTGATGAATAAGGATATAGAAGGAAGTCTTACCTACTCCTTCCCACCAATTATTATTACTATTGCTCAAATTTTCGCGCATGAACGATTATTAATGGGTGATGATGAAGAGAAAAGCGAAAAATGGGACCCCAAATAGATCAGAAGAACATTGACTTCTCAAGGATATGTCCTCCTTTCCACCTCGTTTCCTTACAATCTAAAACAACCTTTCCACCTGTCAAACAGCTCATAATTCAAATGTTCATTTGTTACCTGTTGTCATGTGGTACTCATACTCATTAGACAATCATTATGTTGACACTGATAACAGTCTAAAATGACTCCAGTTTCAACAATCTCAAAATTTATTTTTATTTTTAAGAAGTCATCAATGATCATCAAAAAATAATTGTTCGTTCAAGCAATGAATTGAAAGAGAATACATTTGCATTTTTCTAATCTGAAATCCTTATAATTTTATTTTCTAAGGTAGATCGTTTAATTGAATAATTTGAAATTGACAATTAATGCGAATGGAATACGAATACGTTTGCAACATGTGAAAAATTCTGTTCCAAAATTCACTTTAAATCGAAAACATTTTAAAACCAGAATTTTTCAATTCGATAAAAATAAAGTTTAAACTAAATTTTTTCCTTTTGTCAACAAACACAATATTTTTTTGGAGTAAAGGAAATGAGCCAGAAAAATGCTTGAAATTTATAAAATATATATAGCAAGAAGAGAAAGAGAAATGATTTTCTTCTTTTTCATAAGTGAATAGAAAATGATTATTTGGTTTCATAGAAGCAACGAAAAGGAGTGGTCTGGCGTCACCTGGTGGATGCTTATCGTCTCGAAATCTCACAAAAATACGCAACAAAAATAGTGAGAATTGAAAAAAGCTCCAGATTGGCTAATATAAACATCATCCAGCAGTAGAAGAAACATCAATGCTCCGTTCCATCATCATCATCATCATCATTATCATCATCATCATCATCATCGTCATCATCATCATTATCATCATCATCATCATCATCATCATCGTCATCATCATCATCATCATCATCATCATCATCATCATCATCATCGTCATCATCATCATCATCATCATCATCATCATCATCATCATCATCATCATCATCATCATCATCATCATCATCATCATCATCATCATCATCATCATCATCATCATCATCGTCATCATCATCATCATCATCATCATCATCATCATCATCATCATCATCATCATCATCATCATCATCATCATCATCATCATCACCAACCCGACCACCTTAGAAGAAACTCTGAAAGAAACAGAAAATAAAAAACAAAGATGGAATCGGGTTGCATTTCGTTTAGTAGTGTATGATACCAACTAAAACTTTCCTGATTATCTCATCTTTGATTACTTGAAATCCGGAATTCTTCTATAATCTAAATACGCCAAGTCTTTACTTCTCATTCTCCTAATTTCTTTTGATTTTGCGCTAGTACATTTTTCTTTTTTCTGTTAAATTGTATCAAATCCATCCATTTATTCATTTTTCTGTTAATTCAGAGTTTAATAATCTCATAATGTATCCATCGCTTCATACTAATTCATTTCATACTTATTTCCATAAATAGATGAAAGATAATGGAGTGTCGTAAAGCGCTTCCAAAAGTTTTAAGTTAAATTTATTTTCGAAACATTTCGAGAAGTTCAATAAATTGCAAATCAACACTGCAAAGTTTGTTCCTTTCATTTTGTATTGTCGCAAGCTAAAATTCTTGCTTATTCATTAACATCCTTTCTTCGCCATGCAATACATTCAACCCCATACTGCATGCAAATCTACAACTGTAAGTCATTTTTGCATGCGACACCGTGTAATTTTCGTTTACTTTTTTTTTCAAAAAAAAAGAAAATCTTACCTATCAGTATGTACGTAAATTTATTTACTTAAGCATCGCCACAGGATTATTGCTGTGTTTATTCAATGGCACACTGTCCACACAACATGCAAATCCTATTGTTCTAACATCAAATACTAATGGTACTTTTCTTTCAGAATGACGAATGTTCAACACATACAGTAAACATTTTGGTAAACATTTATTGAGAATATATCATTGAATGGTTGATGAAATTCGTATGAGAAACATAAAAGTAAAGAGGATGATTTATGTTTGTTACACGTAGAAAATCGACTTTTCTTTTTTGATCAGCTTTCCTATCTGGATGTATTCGATCTTTTTTTGCTAATGTATGACACTTTTCTTTTAACTATTAGGCCAGATGACCATCTAAATTCAAAAACACAAGAATTAACTTTTTATAATACATGTTATTAGATCTTAAAAAGGTTATACAAATTTTTGTGTGCATCCGCTCCTTTTAAGCTCAATGATCAAATGTTTTATCACTTTCTTCCTTGTCATTAATCATTTATATGAAATAAGGGACTCAGAAATTCCAAAGTATTAAATTCATGCAATAAATCATTGCGTTGTTATTATATATGATTATTTGCTGACCCATATGATATGATGTAACAACTGAATTTATCAAACACAAAATATTGAAAAGGAATGAACATCAATTCAACAAGAAATTTTTTGAGAAATTTAAATTTATGAGTGACAGAATGATTTGGATGAAGTTGTGACAAATCATCTGACTACTGGTTGAAAGGCGAACAATATAATGATGAGGGATTGAAAGGTGAAAGATGATTACATGAGGATCTCGGCAGGAGGTCGGCCACGAACTGCTTATCCTCCTAACCTTCTTAGTTCTCCCTTATTTCATGAATTTGATCCAATGCGATTATTTATCGGGGTTATTTGGGAGCAACACGAGTCTATTTAGATATCATCATACTAATATCTTCCTTGACTATATTATCAAAACTCTAGATAGGTCAAAGTTCATAACTAAGAAAAAGCTCTAATGTAAAATATCTTTGTTTAATGTATTTGAGTAGAAAATTTGTTAATTCAGCAATACAAGATTATCATTTATAAAGTGAAAATATTAAACGATATTCATATAAAATACTCATATCGAATAACAATAATCAGTTACTCAAGTTTAAATAAGAATGAATTAGGAACTCTACTTTTTGCTCTCATTTTACAATTGTTAAATTTCAAATATATATAATGAAATATACATTATCATAAACATTATAGAAAAAGAGCCAGCTTACTGTAATCCCTACATGATGCAAATTTCTTTTGTATTTCATCAGAATTTGTGCAAATGTAAATAACATCAACGGACGTTTTTCGTTTCATGAGAGTGCACAAATATCAGGTATAGTTTATTCATCTGCAACATTTTCATTAACTTAATCAGATCAGTTACCAGATTTATACATATTATACTTACCGGAATGATTGTGATTAGGAATGATTAGGAATAATATGACGAAGTATGACTCGGAGTAAACAAACTGTATATGTGCCTTTTTTCCATAATTTTTCGAAATATAAGTAGACAAATGCGATAATTTGAAGAAATAAGTCATACTGTCTAATGCATTCCTGTTTAAAAAAGCGTATTTGTACTTAATTTAAGAGTCACAGTAGTCATCGATGTTCGATCTTTGTTCGACAAAGTGGAAAAGGTAATTACGAACACCGTCATTTTCACTTTTCTTTTTTTGAAAAGAATGATCGGTGCTGAAATGTGTTAATGATTAGGAATAATATGACGACAGTATGACCATTACCAGATCTTATAGTATGATAGTCAATAATGACGATCTTCCTTTAATTCATTTGAACCCGTCTCCCTCTTTAAATCAGTCGATGATTACTTCTTATCAGGTTTCTATAAAATTCATTACTAAATGAATGCTGTAAAATTTGCAATCTGTTACAAACAAAAAAAATCTTACCAAAACCTGTGATAGAAAATCAAACGATAAATATCGGAAGCACGACGTTCTTCAAGCGTATTCTTCCCCAAATATCGATTTGTTTTACAGCTTGGTTACAAGTCAAGCCATCTTCATAGTATTACTGGATTAGCAAAAATACTTCACACTTCAGGACAGTATTAAATAAGATTAAAGTTACGCTGAATGATGCAACTCAACCATGTCACAACTGATATCAACGTTGATCAGGTAAAATCAAATTCAGTCACTCTTTGCGATCCAATCTTATTTCTGGATCAGGTAATAGGGATCAGAAAAGTGACTGATGTATATAAAGCACTATCAGCTGTTACGGCAAATGATAGAACTGTAACAACTGCAATTTTACAACAAAGTAAATAGTTCAAGACCAGTAGTCATTCTGATTTATTAAATATACAATATTTACATCAGCGCCTATGTATTACAAGATTCAGCAATAAGGCCTGTAATTTTCGAAATTTTCTTCAAGTATTATAGTAATAACTTTTTATATACAATTAATGTGTGTAGGAAATAAAGAAATAAGTGAAAAATTTTGATGCGTACATACAGGAAAAAGCAAAAACTAAATTTAAGAGCTGGAATTAAGTACAATGTAAATCAATTCCTGCCATTCTGGTTGAGAAAAAAAAAAAAAAAAAAAAAAAACGAAATCAGGAAATGGAGAATAAACTATCCTAAAAATACTTTGTCGGGATTTATTATCCCAAAAACACTACAAGCAAATATAAAGGAAATTATGATACAATAACAATTTGAGGTAGAAGAAATTAATGAGGTATGCTTGCTAAAGTTTTGTTTTATGCATATCCGTAAAATTTAATTTCTCAAACTTCTCATTTCATTGCTTAATACTATAGATAAATAATTACAGATACTGTCGTTCCCACTTTTTTAAAAAAGATAATAAGTAACTGCTATATATTAATAATTAAAAGTAATCTAACAGTTTTAGTAATGACCAGTACAGTATTTCTTAATTTTATAGGTGGCCTTTAAATTCATTTACGTATTCATAACAATCAGTTTTTTCAAACAGTGTTACTTCCTATTATGACTCTAGCAAATTCAAAGTATCATTTATATGAAAAAACTTCAATAAAGAAAAAAAAAAAACTGAATCCAACTTCACTACAAGAGTGACAGAATCCTAAATTTGCTATCACTTGGAGAATTTCTTTAGAATGCAAAAACACAAAAAACACGAAAATCTAAAAATACAAACAGCATATCAACAATGCATAACAAAATATTATTTGCTTCATACTGCTCCTAATATTTATACTCTTTTGCATATTATGTACATATAAGCGACAGTGCACGACAATGTCTGCAAACTGGTATACAACAAATGGTACTTGACAAAACGTCGTAAGTGTACAGTGTTCCTACAATTAACGCCGAACCAAGAAACCATCCACTGTTACCACAACCGGGACATTTCCACTCGGTGTGCATGCATGTGATGCAAATTGCATGCAAATAACCAGTCCTGAAATGAAAATTCCTTCTTTGGCCTACTTCGAAAGTCACAGAATAAATATATTTGATGCAGCAAGAAGTCTAACATGAACAACCGTTCATTTGCATTGTACTAATTTTGGGAAATTAACTCCAAAATCAGTAGAGTTCAGATTTTAGAAAAAATACAATCAAAATGTTACCAAAGAAAGCATATGGTCACTGAAGAATTGATAACTCAAGAAGTGCACAACATAGTAGTTACGAAGTATATAACAGACAACGACACGAAGGTTATAATAGAGTGGAGAAGATCTGAGGTGAAGAAATGCAAACTTGCTTGGACTCAAATTTCATGCTAACTGCAACTTTGGAGTGTTGTACTGGCGAAAGAAAGAAGGTACCATCGATGAGCGGATATCTGTCGTAAACAACTAAATTTCGCTCACAAAGAACGCACGGTACTGTTCGACAGTTGTGCGTTCCGAGAGCACGAAGTACGGATAACCTTGTATCATCGCCACCTTGCGGACAGTCATCTTCCATCTAAAATTTAATTTATTAGAGCTATTCTAAATTCTTCCACCCATTTACTTTTTGTTTGTTGTCTTTATCAAAATAAATCTAGCAATTTTACTTATGTCAAATAACCAAACCATCTTGAAACAATGATATAAAATTAATTTAAACAAATGATATAAAATTAATTTAAACCTCATTCATTTATCAGCAAAGTTCATCATAACTGTACAAAAATATCTTTCTAAAATATCAATATAAAGAGAGAAAACAAATCAAAATCGAAAAATAAATTTAAACCTTTATATGAAAACCATTTAAGCGTGCACGTGGTAATGCCTCTTTGACATATTGCATATCCTTCCGCCTTTCGAAAATTGAACCCGTTTTTCGCACCTGCAATGCAATAGCTGACGTTTTGAAAAACTGCACCAGTAAGCTGTCATAAAACATCACTGTATCTCATATACATTAGACATGTTAATCGAAACTTCAACTGGTCACTATGGTCACTATGTTTCACCAACTGACACTATGTGGTAAGTTGGTGAAACAATGGAGTATATACTACCACAAAGGTATAAAACAAGATAAGTTCAATTCTTTCAGAAAAATGATGCACGTATATCACATTTTATGTAAGTTCTGCAACATATACCTTTGTCCAATAATTTCCCACCACTTATTTATTATAGGCTTTTTTTCTTGTTATTTTCATTTCTAAATGGACAAGCGAATCCTTTAAAAAGCGCAAACCCTCCTTGCTAGCAATTATCAATTAAAGCAGAAAAGCAATATGAGCAGTTAGCATTTCACTACATAAATCTGTTCCAGCAGAAAACGCTATACTGATAAAATCGTTCTAATTTCAGATAACTGCTAAAATTTACGCAGGTAAACTTATTTTGATTAATTTTTGAGAGCAATCAACAAAAGATCATCTCTGAGCATTATTTTCAATTGTTCGAATCTAATATTATCATCTTTATTCCATATAGCGTGCTGTTGACTGCTTTTTGAGTGAGCATATGGATTCTCACTTGTTCATCTTCAAAAAAGTTATATTTTTCGCCATTTTTTTTTGCCAAAACGCTTGTCAAGGCGGAGCGTATTTTCGAATCGTTACCAATGGAGCCTTCCCGTACGATCGCTTTCTCCTCACGTGAACCAATTCGATTTCGAAATTCCGTTTCTGGCGTTTCGAAAACCTACAAATAAATTACCTTCAAGTATCAGAAAAAAACAAAAAAAAAAAGCTGAATGCAAATAGATTTTTACTGTTAGCATTTGATAAACACGTATCTACAACATGTATGTACAACAGAAAATTTGAGCTTCATTCAAACTAACCTTTTCTCAATAAGGTAATCGAAACTTCCTCATATATCTCCGCACGACATAAAGTGGTTTCAGTACAGTTCAACAATTTTCATTTAGAAATTTAACTAAAAGTAGCAGACAAAATGCGCTGAATCTTTCGCCACCTGTTTGGTGTACTGAATACGATGTGCTGGATGATAAGGTACAAACAAACAGATTAACATGGTAAGGAGTGCTGCAGCCTAACCACTTCCTTCCTTCATCTTTCCCGGACGATGACATTCATCCGCTAGCTGCTCTTATAGTTGTTTCCCCATTTCTTAACAGCCCATTTTCTTACCAACCAACTTTCGTTTACTTTTATTTTGCAAGATAAGACCAGAGATGAAAATATGCGATCCTTAAGTTATCAACAACTAACCCAGCAAACGATTAAAATCATGTTAATGAATATGGGTGATGTTGCTTTCTTCAACAAAATTTACTCCAAATCAAATTGAACTAAATCAAAGAGCTTTCCCTCTCTCTCTCTCTCTCGTCCTATCTCTGCATTATTTATAGTTGTAGGCTTCCTTGTTTTCCTTATGTGTCATGTGAATATGTTTACATCATCCGAATTACAACCGCCAATACTAAATTCTTAATGAATTCAAATGAAAAATACTCTTAATACTCTTGTTTAACAAATATATAAATATTCAAAACAATTATGAAATCTTTATATGAACGAATAGCAGATATATTCATATTAATGTGTTTATGCATGATATCGTGAAGCATGAACTTTTGCTTATCAGTAGACTTTTGTTTATCATTTATGTGATTTGGAGAAGAATAGGATTGAAGAATTATTTTGTAAATGAAATACTCTCACATCCTTAAGAATACTAATATTAATAGACTCAAATCAGATTGGAATATAGAACTTAGCAGCATATGACATATCAATGAGTATTGATCAACAGAGGCAGAATTACATTTTCATTCCATTATTATAGGATACTGTTCAAATTTTTATTCGAATTTTAACTCTCCAAAAGAAAATAAAAGTAATTATAACGATTGCTGAATGATGATTATTAATAAGAGGTTATGAGAAGAAATTCTGTAGAGATGGTTATTTGCCGATAAGTTTATAGATGGCAAGTAACTTCAACGCGAAAGGCGACAATGTCATCGATTATGCGATGAACTTCCAATCCACATCATATTTTGTAATATCAATGAATTAAAGATCTTAATTTTTTTTTTTTTGAATTCGTTTGATAGGACAAGTGACTCGAAGTTTTAAAGAAAAATTGATAAAATGTCATTCATTTATGATAACAAACTGGCTATTCAATTGTTAAGAGAAAGAAATCCCCTTCCTTATACATTCCGGAAAATGCCAATTCATTTGAGCGAAAACATTCCACTCGTAAAATTTCTTTTCCTTTTTTGTTAAATAAACAGCTAGCTAACAATTCTGGTTGTTGTTCCCTTTTTCAGAAATACGATTCCTTACAAGCCAAGAATGTCAATTACAGAAAGCAATTAATAACAAAAATAAAATTGCCTATTATCAAAAACAACTTGCCTAACTGTACAAATGCAAAGAAGAAAAAACCTCCAAACATTATTGTCATCATGGGAGAGACACAAATAACAAAGTAAAAATACTTGCATTTCGCTATTTTTAATATTGTAAGACGAAGTACAGAAAAAAAAAAAAAAACATCAATGTGATGTTTTTTTTAATAGGCTAACGAGATAAAATATTGACAAAAATGTAAAAAAATTTCTTTAACTCAAACTGTAGAAATTCAATTTCTCATCGTGAAGGGAGCAGCCAATATTGGAAGTAAAGGAGAAGTAGCGCTAACGGAAGTGTAAAGTACTGAGTGTTATTTGAAGACTGTCACAATTCTGAAGAAGAAAAGACAGCATTTGGTTCAGGTAAAAAGCAGATAGATTAAACATAGTAATAGGATTCTAATTATTGGTCTTCTAATAGAAAATAGAGGAGCCTCTGGAGGACAAAACTGACAAGCATCCACTAAAAACCGGAATGTCCTTTGCTGTTTGCAAAGGAATTCACCACTAAAAATTAAGCTATTGGAAATAATAATGTTGCTGTTAAAGAGAAACAAAAAAACTTGATCAAATCAAAACTAACCATAACTTTTCTTGACCACAAGAGTAGAACTGATCTTAGCTTTTAAAAATCCCGTAAAACGGGAGCAAATATTAGATCGATGTACCACTGATGAACTATACCGCTTTCCAAATTCCTTTTTTGAAATTCTGAAAAGGAAAAAAAATAAATTCTCAAAATTTAATACAATAATATTTAGCAAACAAAAAACGACTGTTTATCACATGTCCATAGTAGGAACGGAAGACTGAACTAATGAACTTATCGTATTCTACTCAGTACAGATCACTATGACAGCAAGTTAATTAAATAATTAACTAACGGAAACTGTCTTACCAACATTGAAATGTATAAGAAGAAAATTTTGAATTATCGTCAGTGATTTATTCCATGAAATATCTTCAAGACGTATTCCATCCCAGAAATGCCATGGGACTAGCCTGACTGGTTAAAAGAGCGAGATGTGCAATATCAAACAGATATCATTTTCCATCTCTAGGCAACATAAAGGTTGAGGACACACAGAGACAGTCAGACAGACGCACACATCCATACAGGTACATCGTTTAGTAATCAAAACAACCCAGAGAAAAGCAAACTTTTTTATTCAAAAAATAATTCGAAGTAGGTAGGTGGTATGGTGAAGCTGTCTGCCTTCCAAGTTGTAAATAAAAACAAGCAGTGCGGGAGGACTGATATGTCCCTAACCACCCGACGCACCCTCACATGAATTTTACTTATCATTTTCTCTGGGTAAGTAGATGGATGAGTAGGTGGGTAGTTTAGTTGGGGGGAGAGGGGTGGGGTAGATGACAAGAGAAAATATCAAAACACGGCTTCAGCTTGCATCACAATTTCGCTGAAAAAATACGCATACGTATACATACATATGTATATATATGCACACATACATACATACACATATATAACATGTACATGCACGCACACACATACAGACACAGACACACATACACATGCATACATGTGATTACGTTAGGGTGGCAGGAGGGAAATAGTAAACATGATTGGTTAGAGGAGGATAGAGGATCAATAACAATGGGCTGTTGCAGGTGTTACTGTTAGCTTGTTGTCGTGATGAAGGATGATTAGTTGACTTGGAAAAGGCAAATCCGTCACTCATATTTTATCAACTAGTAAAAATAGGTATCTCTTATCTATTAATCCATTGTGTTGCGAATTGGTACAGGTGGACAAATCATTGTGATCCAGGGTAAAATGTTATTAAACAGTATGATTGATACGTCATGGGAACTAAGTGGAAACTTTTGTTGGAATTTTGTAAGTTGGCGTAAGAATATATTCTCTAGTACCATAGTTAATTCGGTGCTTTTCAACTCTTAATTTAAATAAATGCTTATGGAAATTCGATATTCAGAATTCCAAACAACATCATTCATCACTTATCTCAACTCAAGATCTGCAGCAATACTTTTCAAAGAGCAGGTTTACTCAAATTTATGTTGGGTGAAGAACAGAGTTTATGTACAAAGCTATCACATAACTTGTGCAGTTAGATTTTAACTGGATTAAGATATATAAGAACAAATGATGTTGTTACAAATTTGTAGTAATGAAAGCTTAGAGAGACCAGCTCATGGCTTCGAATGACTTGCAACTCAGAAATTTGTTTGCCTTACTTAACTTTTTTACTTCTCTCATTTATTGGTTCTGAGAAAAAAGGAGTGGGAATAATCTGTTAGAAAAAAAACTACTGTTCTCTTTCAAAGGAAGTGGCAGAGCCTTGGGAAAATATGAACATGAAACATCGAAAGCATATTTCAGATTTAAATAATAATTATCATTGCTCGTATAAGAAATAATAATTTTAGACTTCAAGTCTTTTACACAGAAATATAAACTTATTTGAGAAAAATGAACAGATGATGAATATTATGAATACAATTCAAAACCTCCTTTTCACTTGCACAGGACATTGATGTTTACCAAAATACACATGAAAAAAAAAAAAAAAAACGAGGAATTTAAAATGAAGTTGACGAATAGTATACGGTTATAAAATACCGCATGGAGATGTTTTAAATAAACCGAATAGCATTAGCTCAAAGAAATTAAAAAATGCGATCATTTTCTTTATGCTGAATTAAGTAATTCAGTTATTTCCTCTTCCCATTGTTCATCTGTTCTGTCCATTTGACCGCTTACCAGTTCATAATCATTCAGAGAATTTATCAAATCTCGCTCCAAGTCTTCTCCAATCTCTGAAAAAAAAAAAGAAAAAAATAGCTTTTAAACACAACGTGAAAATAAGACATATTGATATATCAGATATTTTTCTTTAAGATGCGAACATAACGTCCACTGGAGTAACTGAAAGAACATGATTTACATAAGCTAAAAACATACGTCGCGTACGGGAAGGATAGCATAAATCGTAAAGAGTAATGTGTAGATTAAATGGAAATGTGACGATTAATCTCTTTTCGAGGTTAGTTTTTACTGGAAGCTAACAAAAAAAAAAAAAAAAAAAATTAAAACCAAAAAATCGACGGAAACAAACTTTCTTGTGTAGCATTAGCAATATTTTCACGAATTTCATTCAGCTTTTTATTTTTCGTCTCACTGTCTTCATTTTCAGTTTCGTTTTGCTCTTTCGTGCTAGTTTTTGAAAGTTCATCTCTTTTGTTTATTTCTAATTTTTTCTCTTCGGCTTCTTTGTCTTCTAAGCTGGACGATTTTACATTTTCATCTTGTTCAACAGATTTTGAAGAAACAGGAACTTCTGGAACAGGTGAACAATTCTCTCCCAGCGCTGCTTGTCGCACTAGTGAAACACGATAAAAGTAATTTCTCCAAAAACGTTTTTCATTTAGCCTGCAAAAAGCTTGAAAATACATAGATTTATAATTTTAGTAATAATTCCTTTGATAAATGCTTCATATCAGAGCTGCGTCGATGTGACTAAGACAGACAAAAATTTCACGACATTTCAAACGTGTACCATAATATCTTAGAAAAGGCTTAGCAAATTACATCAAACAGTAGTCAAATGAAATTGATCATTGACTTTTTGTGTACGAAAAAAAAAACTTTCAGTGGATGAAAACAAGTTGGATCACACGAAGAACTGAATGCAAAGAATACTTTTTTGGAACAAGCTGGAATCTAATTTTTCTCAAATTTGGATCATCTTCTAGTAAAGCAGCTGCCACCGATTGCATCTGTGCGAAATCAAAATTCGTCTCTGATGGAGGATCACGAGTAAAATTCCGAGCATCCTGCAAGTAACACAAACGATATAAAAAAATTACATGCATAATTCCCATATGTTGAAAAAATAAAGTGAAAATGTTAATAAAATTTTAGATATGGGAAGAATGGTAGCAACTGCCAAAAAGGGAAGGAATTTAAGATATTGGAATTTGAATTCAATAAAAAATATGGGAGATTTTGGCATAGCAACAGCAGAAAAAAACATATATACGCTTTTCAAATTTAAAACTACAGCTCATAACGGAACACGTAAACTAGAATTAGCGAACCATATTTCAGTAACACAGAATCGATCTTTCAAAAAATGTCAAACTGACTTTAGTTTCATTTAAAGCATAAAATAAAGAATGTTACAGCAAAAGATAAGGGCGTTCAAAAGTAAATGTTAATGTAAAAAAAAATACCAATGAAAGTGATAAAATGTGTTTTTTAGCAAGCCACTGGTCTGGGAGATCGGACCATGGCAATATACATGCTGCTAATTTATTTGCATTTATTTCATCTTTGAATTTAGCTTGCTCTTTATCCAAACTGCCAATTATTGTCTGCAAAAATAATGTCATAATGATTATTAGTACAATTATAAAGGAGAAGTCCGTTGAATTTTCATACAGTACCCAATATTATTTAATCGAACAATAACAGGAAAAAAAAAACGTTGAAAGATCATTTTTCCATATATGTTTACACTCAGAAGATGTGAGCTTGTTGGCGTTGTAATAACAAGCAGAAGGAAATGTATATGTCTTTCAAATTTAAAACCACTGCATGTATTGAATAAGATGCTTTAAACCCATACTTTTTCAGCAACAACATTTTGCAACTTTTTCGCGGTTTCTTCAGCAGTAATTGCAGCTTTTGTTGTTGCCTCTTTTGCCATAGAAAAGAAGGAATCTAAAAATGGTACAATAAGATGTAACAAATAAGATGTAGTTAATGTTTAATTCTTTCATTTCCTTTCTTTCATGTTTAAAACACTTAAACAAACAATAATTTCTTTCGATTTAATAACGCCATTTTATAACGTATCTTCTGTGTTACAAACAATCAGCGTAACATGATTTTGACGCTACCAAAAGCAATCCATCAAGCAGTTAACAAAGATTCAGATTACAAAGGATTATTAACGAAGAAAACCTACAGCAATGTAATTAACCACTAATCACGAATCTAAGTTATAAAAAAACCCTTACTTGCATATTTCTTTGCAGCTTCGACAGTAGCAGCAGCATTAGTTTCAAGTTTGTTTCGATCTAATCCTCCAGCATTCTGATTGCTATTATTATCATTCTCAATTTTCATCGTTAATCCACTGTTCGATGATATATTTTCTTTATTTTCTACTTCCTTTAAACCAGTACTTTCTTCTTCAGTTTCCATTCCAATACATACTTTCTCGGACGCAGCATCAGCTGAGGTCTTTTCTAACTCAACATTATCCGCTGGTGGCATATACATCATATCAGAGATTTTTTTAGTGACTTCTTTTGCCTGCTGCATCCATAACGTAATGTTCATCATTTCTTCAAAACAAACCACCATATATTTTAATTTACAAAATTGTTTGCAATCCCAAAATACAAAGTACGCTATAGATAGTTACAATTTTCTAGTTTGCACAGAACTCTTGACTCAACATCTACTGACACCACGGTTAAATTAAATTCCAAAAGTCCAAACAAGCTATTTAGCTCAGCCCTTTCTCAGGATGTGATAGTCTTTCTCTACAAATACTTGCTATGGACAGCAACTAGCACAGAAACAATCATATCTTTATTTTAGATTCGCTATTAAATCTCGATTAACGCATCTCCCAATCTCTCAATGGTAAGATTGCTTTATCGGAAATAACTCACTTTATGACCATTTATACTAATCAAGTACTGCAATCAAAGCAACCCGTAACAGCAACTCGGATTTCAAATCTAATCTTAGTCCATCAAAATAACACATCATCCTTCCATGCAATGAAGCTTTTGAAACTATGTCCCGCCTTGCTCGTACATTACCGTCACTTTAAAATATATTTGGACGCCTATTAAGCATCTTCCTGAATACAGCAACTTGAAATAAAACTTTAATTCACGCTGATGAGCTAGAATAACAGCCATAAAAAACATTCCATAGATATCCGAAAAAAGAGCTAATAGGTGGAAAAGTCATTTAAAAGATAAAACGAATGAATGCTAAAGGAATTATTTCCTCATAGAAGCAGAAAGCATGATGTAGATGAAATGCTAACAGAGAGATAACTAGTCAATGAAAGAAAGGGTAGGAATTTCTAATTTTTAAGACTGAACAAATTAAAGAAACTTCACAAAAAATGACTTGCAACACATTTATGAATTAGTGTGTTTTAATAAAAGCTTGGAATTATTTTATGGCGAACTAAAAGTAAGGAGGTAAATAGAAATCTAAATGATTTTTGCAAATATTATATTCATCAATTATGGCTAATAAAAATGATTAACAATAATTCGAAAGAGTTCACAAAACAATGAGATCAGCATCGTGCTGGTAATGTATAGAGATTGATGGAGCATTCTTGCTAACTTCTCGACTTCCCGATACACATGTTTCCAAAAATTTTAAACGCTGTAAACAACCACCATCACCAGTCGGTCGTTTGAATATAATATCAGCTATCAACTGCATTTGACCTGAAAGGAAATCTACCGTTGAATTTTCAAATTGTTATGCAAAGAAAGGTATATAACGAAGTTAATGTTGCAGACGCAAAGCAAGAGATTGAGAAAATGCTACGCACTCCTCATAATAAAAATTGGAATCTCAATCAAAGTACAACTCGAAAACATTCGAAAAACATGCGAGTAGTCGAAATGAGGATGGGAGCGTTATTACATTTGGTATATTGACAAGATGATATTGCAGTACAGTGAAGAAAAAAAATTTTACAGTGAAAAGGTTTGTGTTTGAAAAAATCAGTAAGTGGAAGAAATGGTATACCTATAAAATCTCTTAAGCATTTTTTTGAGTAAGCTTAATTCATAAATCAAGCATGTTTATTGTAAGTCACTAGAGTACAATTTAGAGATAATAATTATATGCAAAAATAATTTATTCAAAAAATTCGAGCCTAAACCAGTTCAAACATAATGTTCAGAAAAATGGAAGTGGGAAGCTAGGAAAAAAGAGGCAAAAGAAAAAAAAAAGATAACTAACTATTTGCAGTGCTATTCCATTTTACCAGCTCAGAAACAAAACCAATAAAATAAATAAACATATTGCGATTCTCGACAGGGAATTTCTCAACACATGACCAACAACTATTAATGTCACTGGCTGCCCGCAAACATTCCATTTGTAAAGCTGGAGGTATTATAGATTCTGAAAGTAAAATCTTTTAAGGATATGAATGCTAAATTAAATACATGTAAATCATGAAAAAGAGACTGATGATAATATAGAAGGATGAAAACTTTTGATAAATATTACTTTTTTTCTAAATAGATGACTACAAGACTTTTGCTCTCACTATGTTTATACGATTTTTAATGAAGACATTATCAATGAGATTATCATCTATAGTATACCCAAAATAATTTCAATCATCTAAAATCAACAGTCATTCCCAATGGAATAAACTTGCCCAGAGCTCTAGCAATTGCTGATATCTGTAAACTTGATGCATGAAGGAAGACTAAAAACATAAGAAGAATGAACTGCAGTCTACACCAGAGAGAGCGTAGAGAGATAACTTAATACTTTATTACAAAGCATAATATTTGAAAATTTTAAAAAAGGTCCAAAATATTTGAATACAAACATCAAATACCTTTAAAGGATGTGATAAGTGTTAAGAAAGTGTCATACATACTGAAAGCTGATTTGCATGCTTCAACTGAAAAGTGAACAAAGTTTATCAACCAATTAAAAATCTTGATCTTTCCGAATAAATTCAAATTTACCAATGCAAATCTTTAAAAAAAAATCAAAAAAGGAAATATCAACCAATAAAGTAAAAGAAAGACAAGAAAAATAATAAAATTACACAAATTTTTTGGTTTTCCAGTATCTAATGCATTTCGTAATGCTATGAATTCGCTGTGTGCAGAAGGGTCATCAAAACAAATCTTTTCTAAACCATTTTGTTTTAATGCTTCACTGATACGAAAAACAGATTCCGGTACGCCAGCCACAACAGCGGATATAAGTGATGCAGGACTATAGGTCTGGAAATAAATTGAAAAGAAATTCCAAATGAAAAGAGGAGATAAAAATAATCCCTCTATAAGGCACACTGCAAATCAGTACGCAGTTCCACATAAACTGTGACCAGAATTTATGTGTCAAACTTATTCACCAGCTTTCTTTTTTCAGCTTTTTCATTAATCTAGCACTGAGGCGTTAAGACCAGCAGTCGGCTATTAACTAGTGAAAGTTACCATCTCAATTCTTTAAAAAAAAATCACGCTTAAGTAATTTTTTTTAATTTATTTTTAGTTTTTTTTTTTTTTAGTTATTTTTAGATTATTAAATTTTCCCACTAGTTTGTATTTCCTTTTAAGATAGCAATAATTTTGTTTCACTGAAAACCAGATTTCATACCAAATTAAGTTCAGATGCAGATGTTTTTCTTTTTTCCATATGAATTAGATTAACAAATGATGAACCAAAAGCGCTGTACTGATAATAAGCCGAAACAGTAACAAAATAATGCCTTCCACGGTGCAATCGAAGTACCAGGATTTCCGATAGTTTCTCATCTCCATTTATTGTCCATGCTACTGCTTTATCAATTAAAATCTGTAAAAAGACTAGAAAGTTATTTCCAATTTTAGAAGCACACTTAAAAGTTTATAAGCCACAGCAAAGAGATTTGTTTCGACACTAAATCATCAGCTGACATAATAAACCATTTTTAGAAGATTCACACGCTCAGCGTGAGATGACATTAGTACTGAGAAAGAATAACAACATTTGACGGGATAATTTTATTTGTCATCTGACAAATTAAAATTCTGCAAATGTTTAACAGAAACTGTATGTGAAAAAACCTGCAAACTAATAGTACAGGAGGCACCCGGTTGAAGCCTTGAATTGGGCGGTGTAACAGAGAGCCAAGGTTCACATAATGCAATACGGTTTGGTCTCGCATCAAACGAAAATGAAATTTTCGTTTTACCCGTATTTTTAATTGTTATTGTTCTAGATGCACTTTGAAAAAAATACACTTTACCGAAATCCACCTGAAAGTTTAAACTGACTGCAAACTGTACAGAAAGTTCTACAAAATGGTGTTTAACACTTAACATTCAAGGTAAATTAAGAAGCTGCTTAGAGAATAACTTTGATCACACACACTAGGTCACTGTTAGAACTGAAGCTTATCAGGAAATACTTTTAATTTACTTCGCTTTGCGATAATTCAATCTGCGGAAGTGCCTCATTTGCACGGCGATCTGCTTCCCGTACAGCTTCCTCCAAACAAGCACTCCGTTTAGCTTCATCGACATGCCGTACTTCTACATAAAATATAGATCGCACTGGTTTATGATCTGAAAATACCACCGATTCTACACTTTCGTAGACTTTTTGCCGGACATTCACTCCATCACGGTTCCACCACAAAATTCGATCACACCAAGCTGGACAACGACATTTATCACTGAAACATATAACTACTCACATTATTTGGAAACAACAGGACAGCGGCACATCTATAAAATTCAAGAATGGAACATACAGAGTTGGAAAAACTTCAGCAAAAAATTAAAGCAAAACGGAGCAAAACCACAAAGAGAAAAAGACTAAATCTTCATATTATCTCATGATGGGCAGTCCTGAATTTGTATTTTCGTATATCCCATAATACTAATAAAGATATATAAAATCGATTCGAAGTCATGTCAGAAGCAAGCAAGAAATTCGTAATTAACCTGGTATCCCATCTTGTCGTTCCAGGATCATATTTATACGTAGGGCGGAAATTTAAAATATCTGGTTCTTTAAAATCAACGAATATATGATTAAGCTTTTTCTGCTTTTTTAGCTGGAAAAATTTTTAATAATCAATTTATACATAATATCCAAAATGATCTAATCTGAAATGAATGTTTCTTGACTAGGAATCGTCAAAGAATCAGAAAAGGTTGAACTATCTTAAAAATATCATCTTCAAAATTTGAATACAGAAGGTTAGGAAAGGAAGACCACGATAATATATGTAATGTTCTTCTTTTTTTTTGCTGTACTTCTAAAAGCTCACCTGATCAAATACTATCATATCTCTAAATGCATTCTCGTCATAGCAAAGACGACGGAAATCATCATTACTCAAATTACTATTAGTTTCCAGACGAAAATTCATATCACCAAACCAGAATATGACATCATGATCAAACAAACTTTTATTGCTTTTTGGGAAGCGAACTTGTGATATTTCCCTAAAATAGAAACATATGGTATTACCATAAATCCCTGAGCAATATCTAGTTTTAAATGTAAATAAATATATTACACCATATTTGTTTTATCTCCTAGGCTAACCTGTAATCTTGATTTCTTTTTTCCAATTCTTCCTGTCCAGCAGCAAAATGAGAATTCACAAAACAAAGATAGCTATCATTAATCTGCAAACTGATAGCCACACCACCCTAAAGTAATTTTTGAAATTAAACAAAATCTCACTTCTTTCTGAAAAATTCTTTTCTCGCTAATGCTGAAAACTTTTTTCATTAATCATAATAGCAAGATATACACGACTTCGGCAATGATTTAAGGCTAAAAAAGCATTTTGAAAACACGAATATAAGAATAATAACTTAAAAAATCAGTGAATATTATGCAGAAAACAAAATTATGCAAGAAAACTACCACTAAGTGAGCTTCTGCTATTGTTCATATCACTTCAAAATCACCATTATCTTTCAAATGATCATTCTGCTACCATATTACTTACCTTATTACCCATACGACCCAGTAGGGGGAAACCAGTTGGTACAATTTCAACATCAATTGCTGTATTTTCAACCCGAACTTCACAATCAATGCGGCGGTAAATCATCAACAATATACCAACCAAATGCGCTTCTTGGACCTGTAAAAAACACTTTGAATACATCAAGGAATATTAAAACTAAATATTTTCTTTTTATAATCCGATCACAAAAATGCTGCAACTACACTAACGTAGCAAAAATCGAGAGAAGACAATGCCGATAAACTTAGATCTTTCTCAATCCAACTAAAATAAGAAAATGAGTGCAGTTATATCAAAACATAGGAATTTAATACCAGAATATAGTTGGCGGAAGTAGGAAGAGATTTCTGAATGACAATCTGCCATCCAGAGTGACGTGCTGAAGTATTCATGAGGAAAGCCTGAGGAGAAAGGTCCATTTCTTGTAATCTATAATGGCGTTTTGTAAATTCATTCATCCCAGAAATTTTTACTTTGCTGTTAGTAATGCAGAAACTGTAAAAAATTTATTTTGAATTCATAATAAATATCTAATGATTCAAAACTGCAAGAAAGCTCCTTTTTTTATTTTTTCTTTTAATACGATGTAAAGTACATTTCCTTTGCTTTGGAAGTGATAGATAGAACATTCAGTCAAAAAAGCCAATGAAACAATAGCTCATGTTACATTGCTGGAAATCGGTAAAGGTTGAACTTCTTTTTGAAACTGCATACTAAAACAAAAAATAACCCAATAACATAAAAATCTGGTGCAGATGCTCCATCGCACGTTAACCAATTCGGCAAATCCTCATGAGTTGGCATTCGGCCGTTGACATTGAATGTTGTGATGAATATTGATGTTGTGATATATGTCGAATACCTTAGAATGAACCAATAAGACAAATCACGGATCAATTTATATCTAATGTACTGATGAATATAATATGAATTATGAGCAATAATGCATTGGGAAAAGTAAGAGGAACTGCGGAATTGAATGACAGTAGGGAATGGGTATATATTAGCTGTCAATAATAAATGTAACCACAACGGAGATTCATTAACCGTTACAAAACATGCCCGACTACGGCAAGAATTCTTGAATTTTGCAAAAAATAGGCTAACCTGCTTTCCCAATCACGCATAACTTCCTCAATATCATCTCGACGAGAAAGCGCTGGTATGATATTCCCAGCAGTGTAAAAGGTCATTCTCCAACCATGCTTTCCATGAATAAACTATCTATAAATTGTAGAAAGTTTTCGAATCCTTAATGCAGCTTTTGACACTATCATTTTATGATAAGAAAAAGAATTTTGTCAAGTGTGGTACTATTCGAACTCATTCTTATCACGAGAAAATACATTATGTAAGGAAAACTAGCGTAAAAGGAACAAATATAAAGAAATAAATCAATAAACTAAGTTATTGAAGGCCAAAAATAAGGCACGGCAAATCAATTCAGTTCAGCTTTGTAAATATGAAATGTATACATGTATTGTGCATGTGCATCACTATATAACGCATTACGATTAAAATTATATTACGAAAACAATTCGTAATCGCTACAGCAACCGTAAGTGTATCGTTATGATAGTAGTCAGTGAACTAATTAAAATATTCTTTTTTTTTAATAAACCGGGAAGTCTTTGGTTATTTACAACTGCTATTGATGAAGCATTTCAAAGTGGTAACTAGCACAGCCTGCTGGCAGTGTAGAGATGCTTCTCAAATTACATTAAAAATTATTGGCAACTAGCTTTCAGTAGGAAGGATTTGTTGATAAATTCAGAAAGCGAAAGCGATAAATCGGAGCAACTATGAAAAAATCCTAGCTGTGGAGCATAACTCCGAAACAATTTTTCTCTGCTAGTCTAAAGTTACAAATCTTCAACAGATATGCTGGCCAAAACTAAAGTCTTGAGCGATTATTAAAATTCAGCTTTTGATAATTTAAAAAGCTAGTAATTTGATAAAAACAGCTGAGAATTAAAAAGCAAAATTTGGGAAAATCAAAGAGGCGAATAACTGAATTAACCTCTTAAATTAACTGCAGTGATCTGAACTATTCACAACTAAAAAAATTATCACGAGGACAAATCTAATGTGAATCACAATTTCACTCCTTCGTTTCTTCCTTCTTATAGCGATAATCATTACGACGACGACTCCCTCCCTTGAACACTCTTCGGTAAGTTTTTTCATATTCAGTCGGATCGATTTCTCGTACACCCAAGTAAAAAAGAGCCCTAACTGGTCTGTGGTCTGAAAATCTGATGGATGGTACGCTGTCGTAAAATTTCTGTCTGATGTGGACTCCTTTCTGATTCCACCATAAAATACGATCACACCAAGCAGGCACACGTTTTTTTCTGCTGAAAAAAAGAATCATGAAAATTATGATTTGAAAGTTTAGTTTACTGTGTAAATGGAATGATAATCAACTTGAGGATTAGCAGCAGTTGAATGCTGAGAGAGCTATGAAGTCATTATAATATCTTAGATAGATGCAAATAAGAGGAAAAGATATCTCTGACATAATAAGATGACCCACAACATATAAATTACCAATAATTAAAGTGGGCATGTAGGTCTATATGACAAAAGACACGGATAACTAATATTCGAAAAGTGAGAACGACTCCTCTAAACAATGCATCAATTTTGAGATTTTTAAAAGTTTAAAGCAGCTACTAAAATAAGGAAAACAGAAAAAACTAGTGAAAAGCATTTGGTACAACCTGCTATCCCACTTGTCGGAGTTAATATCATATTTGAAAGTTGGACGAAAATTCAAAAATTCCGGTTCTTTGAAATTTTTAAATATAATTTTGAGTTTCATCGCTCTTTTAAGCTAAACAGTTCGTATTCTTCAACATAACCGTAATATTATAAGGAAAATCAAGCCTTCTCATTTAATAAGTTCACTGAATCAATACGAAAGTTCTATTAAACCAAACTTATAAATCATGTCAAATTTTACAATATCCGGAAATTCTCTTTCTAGATAGACTGTTCTGCAACCATCAAAAATTATCGAAAAAAAAATATATATATATATATATTTCTAGTAAGGTTGGACATTTAAAAAGCACTGAAACATACCGGTACTAAAAAAAAAGTATTAAAACATAAGAAAAAAGTATTAAAACAAAGAAATATTGATGTTTCGCTATGTTATAAATATGCAAAAGCACTACTGGAAAGCTTTTTTTCCTTTAAATCTTATCTAGCACATACAATAACGCTTAGGAGATTGTTTTGATATGATTTCCACGGTTCTAATATGACACTATTAGTGAACGACTACTTAACCTGCCAGACGGAGAGTTTAATATTCCATTTTACAATTTATGCATCACCACCAGAAAAAGTATCAAATTCACTTTTAAGATCTAACAAATCGTTTTATATAAAATAAAGCTCAGAATCTTGAAACACCCTCCAACACTAATAATCACAAAAATTATTCAATAATTGGAATTTTCCGAATTATGTTAACTTGCCTGGTCGTAAACAAGCATATCTCTGAATGCCTCATCATCGTTGCATAGTTTACGCAATTCATTGTTATTCATACCATATGCAGTATCCAAGCGAAAATTTAAATCACCAAACCAAAAAACAGCATCGTGTTCGAAAAGAGTTTTACCATTTTTATTAAAACGTATATTTTTGACTATATGTCTGAAATTTACCGAAATAGGAATATTGAAATGGAAAATCAAGAATGAATTCCGTCAATAATCAAACTAAGTTTGAATTTTAAAAAGAAATTTATCTACAAACTTGAACATACTTATAATCCAAGATGCGTTTTTCATTTCCACCAATATGAGCAGCAAAGTGTACGTTCACAAAACAAACTGCTGTATCATTCATACACATGCTGATCGCAACAGCACCCTATGAATCCATTTGTCTCAGATAACATCATATTGCAATATATGAAAACAATTCTTGAAAAATAATCCCATATCTTTCTCAAATCATTTATGATTCATCAAAGCTTTTTTGTTTTCATCACCTATGGAATTGCCGCTGTATTCAAATACTCAAAGCATTTATCTCCTAGAACAAGTTTAAGATTTCATTTGTCATATAATTCCACTGAAACATTAGGAATTCAGTAATGCCAACATATCTAATCCTAGTAGGGATTAAAGAAATAAATACCAGAAAGTATACCTTATCACTCAGTGCTCTTCCAAATACATTATATCGTCCAGTCGGTACCATAACTGCGTCAATTTCGGATGGATGTACCTTGATTTTACTGCCTATACGTCGGTAAACTGCTAGTAATATACCTACCAATCGTATTTCACTTACCTGAATGCATATAAAAGATTAACAGTCAGCTCAAAATTCGAACTAGAAAAAAGAGAATGAAAAAACTAACCAAATCATAATCAGTGCCTTTTGGAAAAGATTTGGCGATAATGACTTTCCATTCCATGTGTCGTGTTGATGCATTCATTATGAAAGCTTGTGGAGAAAAATCCATTTCTTGAAGTCTGAAAGTTAATAACCATGGAAATATTGGGAGACAGATAATACTCAATGTAAGGGAAAAACAGAAAAGTTCTAGAAACAGTACAAAGTCACCAATAACTTGAAAGAAAAAACTTCTTAACATGATTCACTTTCTTTATCCAACATTAAATGAAAGTAACAAACCCAATAATGTAAAAATCAGGTGGAAGAATGCCTTCACAATTTAACCAACTCGGTATTCCATCCAGTGTTGGTATACATCCATTAACGTTGAATGTGGTAATGAATACTGACGATGTTCGATAAAGAGAAGGTCTGGAAGGTTAAAGATTATTTTTGAGCTTTATATTTGACACTCTTGCTAATAAGATAAAACATTATCCGACATACAGTCTTCATGACTTTGAATAACAACATACTTAGATCAAACCAGAATCGTTATATTTGATAGCATAGGCATTAGTCAAATCACAATTTTTGTAAAACAGAAATTAAAAAATGAGCTCCCAGGTAGAGTGATTTTTGTAAAACAGAGTTTAAAAAATGGATTCTGAAGTAATGATGATTATTTTACATACGTGGATTCCCAACCACGTAGAAACTTGACATCGAGATGACGTGAAGATGCATACACAGCAGAATCTCCAATGATGTTTGACCCTCCAGCATTATTTGTTCCGCGATTACGAATCCTCCCATGTCCATTCTTCCTACAAATACCATCACTTATGCCACACGAAGACTACACCGCTTCCTCATAGAACTTCAGCACTTCTTTCCCTTTCTTCATGACTGAAGGTAGTTAATGACTTCATCCACTTCACTCAATTAAAAAGTAAATGAAGTGCAGGGGAATAAAATTTCGATGGACAACTATATTACCGCTGTGGACCTCAAATATTGAAACCGTCCTTCCCTTTATTTCAGAATCCAGAATTTGTAACACAAAAGACTGAAACAAGCGACACCAGTGCTTATGAAACTCACGGGTCTACCAACCACCGCCTCTCTCTTTTGTTTTCAATACACATCACTGTACCAGACCCGATGAAAAAAGATGCCCAAATTAAATCTGAAGGGCCTTATGTAGCACTATCAATATTTAAATTTCTACTGGTTGAAAGCTATGCAAATCCTGAACCGAGGAATTTGCATACCTATTAAGAATAACCTGCTGACACAATTAGTGTTTAAGCGTGTCGAAAGAAAATATGAAGCCGATTCTCCTGTATTCTTCACTTCCAAATTATATTTAAACAAAGTCATTAAATGCACTGCTAAAGAAATTTTTCACTTATTAGATAGTTATGCTGACATTCACAAACAAATTTTATAACGTAACAGTGGATAAATGACATGACAGGTACATATATTGGAAATGGCGATCATGAAATTGCTTAAATGCTTTACTTTAAGAATGCAACGGAAAATACAAAACTTGTTCCCTAAAAAGAAATAAACATTTAGCACGACTAATCTAGGATAATTTTGGTAGCTATAAAAATGTAAATTCCAAAAAAAAAATACAAGGAGCTAGGAAACCTTAAATTTGCGCTTTGGAAGGACGAAGCAACTGAAAATTTGAGGGACGGCAAAAAACAAAAAGCAGAAGAGTAGTAGAGCTCTTCTTTACTAGATACTTTGCCTGTAAATAAGCACAAAATAGGACAAAAAAATAAATACTGGAAAGAACATTTGTATTGAACGGTATTACTAGCTGATATAAATTTTACAAGATCAAATTTCTGGAAATCCATGGTTTCTTCCATAACAGATTTTATTGTTCCGGGATGAGTTCTACGTAACGTGATCCTGAAATCGATAGAATGACATTTCGCAAGAAATTATGCGAATGAATATAATAACATAATTTTTTCGTTCATCGTTCGAAATCACTGCTTACAATACCAATACAAGAAGAACTAAACCTCCCTGCACTTTCTTTGGACCGAAAGCTTAGGATTTAGAGACTTGAGTCAATGGACTTTACTAGACAATGGTTTACTTAGTTCCGGATTCCGAACAACAAAGATATACCCATATAATTTCTATTGCGTTGCATGGCAGCATCGAAATCCGCTCGATTTCTGAACTCAACAATTGCCTCACCACTAGGACGGTCCGTTCCATATTCATATAACACATCAATCGATGCTGGTCGTAGCGGTTGGAAGAACTAAATTTGAACAATGAACAACCTCAAGAGATTAATAAAAGTCACAAATTTTGAAATTTCACTAGACGACATAATAAGGGTTTCAAATTAGTAAGTGCATTAATGATCAATTAATATAACTGATAAAAAGTAAAAAATTGCTCATACATTCCATTTTGTATGAAAGATTCGATTAGCAGTGATCACAAAATGAATAAAAAGTGCAACTATCATTCGCACTCTTGGTGCTCTTAATAACAATTAATAATTTATTAGTCATGATCAGTAGCAAAAAAAAAGGAATAAATAAAGCCAAGATAATCAAGAAATTGCTCAAAGTAATGAAATGACCGCAAATCAAATTCAAAATCCAGAACACCAATCCACAAAAACTGAACCAACCAATCTACAGAAATGTGCAGACCCTTCGTTAATTAATTAGCCAGTCAATGCTGCTTCCGAATATAAGCAGAAGAATGTCCCCAACACGAAACAGCATTATTCGCCAGATTCGTTTCCCTCTGTTCAGCTATTTTTTAGCCTATTCTAGGTAGGTAAATATACTTTTTACTATTACAACTTACATCGATTATGTCGCGTTCCGTGGCCCGATATGGAAGACCGCGCATCCGTATACAGTATTCCGGTGGCGGCGTCGTATAACGACGCCGCGGTGGTGAATACCCCCTATGGCCACCCATCGGCGGTTCATCTCTCCAACCCCGTCGCATCGGTCCTCCACCACCACGTCCACCACCGTACCCATCATCATAACCGTCGCCACTACCACCGTATCTGTCGGCCCATACTTCTGCAACCCCCCGTTCACATTCACATTTAATACCCAAAACACAACCATAGCTCAGCAGATTCCCGAATGTTTTCCAAGGTCGCAGCGACCTCAGAAATTTCCAGATTTTCCAGCAAGGCACAAAATATTCAGATTTGCTAAATAACTCGTTTCTAACCAGATTCCACCGTGGCTTCCAGAAGAAAATCCCCGTTTTCCCCAAAAGTTGAACCGACGATCCCTTTCATCAACCCATACTGTGCTGATCCTTTCATATCTGATTGTTACTTATAAAAGTTTAGAAATAAACAAACCATTCCGATGCATTCTGGAATCACGATAACCCCGGTCAGCACCTGGACGATCATATGGCAACCCTCTCGGGCGACGATCCCTTTCCCATCCCCGACCACCACCGTACGGATCAAGACCTCCATCCAAAGCTCGAAGCATCTCACCATAAGATGACGGATATATGTCCACATATCTTAATAACAAAATATGGTCAACTTCAAAAAAACACACAAATCAGATCTGACAAGCATACTTGTTAAATACAATCTGCGAAAGCTTTTTTATTTTAATAAAGCATTGGAAATTAAACATTGAGAATACTAAATCGACTAATAGAGCAATACCTATGCTGAATGTATTCCTTATTTTTAGCAAGAGCTTTTGAGGCCGACTCATCATCAATAAATGCAACGAAAGCTTCGCCTTTCGGTTTTCCACTGTAACGATCGTAAGTCATAACAATACCTAGAAAAATTAGTAAATGAAGAATATCGCAAAAGCAACCTTCCATATTCTTCTACACTAAATATTTACACTAACAGCGAGACTGCAAACAATGCAAATCTTCTACTGTCAAATAAACATTAAATAAACTAAAATTTTTGAAGCTGTTAAATAACTATTCTTCTAATCAAACGCAAACACTTCCATTGCAGAAAGAGAAACAAAGTCATAAACAATGGATTCCTTCAACATGAACAAGCTAAATGGATTTAGATAATTAGGACATACCTCTATCGGCTATTTCAAGTGGTTCAAAGAAACGAACGATTTCTTCTTTGGTACAACCATATGGTAAGCCGGCCAATCTAACAATAGATGTCTCACGGGCAGGCAAATTTGGATCTGCCAATGATCCTCCATATCGCCTATCGCTATCATCATAATCGGATTCCATCGATGAAACTTGTTGAAGCTTAAAAAGGCTCAGTATCATGAGACATTGTGAAAGTTCAGTACAATGGAACATTATTAACAAATGTATTAGGAAAAAATATCTCGGAAATTTAATACATATCATAACAACGGGCTAAAAAATCTAGCTTCAAAATCTATTTCAACAATAATATGAAAAACTATCACCACACGAGTTTTCCAATATATATATATATATATATATATATATATATATAGATCGAATTATTTGGTGTTTAAGAAAATACTTTAGTTATTTAAGCAACCACATTTTCTAACTATTTACACTATTTCATTCCGTGTTCCATTTCAGCACATATGATTTTAAATATCCAAATAGAAAACACCGCCTTAAGACCTAGAAAACTGGAGAGTTTAAACGACAAATCAAATCAATAAATTGTTAGAAAATATTTACCATAACAACAAAATATTCGAATGAATAAATCAATTGAAAAAACTAACCTCCACATACCGTTTACCAATATATTTCTTGTCCTTTGTTAAAGCAAAGTCATAATCTTCTCGGCTACTAAATACAACGAATCCCTCACCACTTGCACGTCCATCACGGTCTTTTGTCAGCTTTATCTGAGTGATTGATCTTGCTGCTTCTGAAGATGAATTTTGCACCATAATTGATAGATTCTATTTACGACCAAAATTAATCAAAGTATAACTCTTGCTATTAATCAAAGTATAACTCTTGCTATTAGTTTGCTATTAAATAACATAACACTTGATAAAAGTAGCGTAATCCACCTTTTTCACAATAATCTGCTATTTCAGTTTCAGTCTCCATTCTGTCCTCATTCAGAACAATCCTCTTAGACATGGTTAAAAAGCTAAAAAGCTACTTATTAGTACATCACTTGTAGTGAAATGAACACTTCCGACGACATTTTTTTTTTGACGACAATTAACATTTCCAAGACAGAGCTGAGATTCATGAATAAGCTTTCAAACATCTTTCATACCCAGCATGTATTAAGTTGAGAAGATAGCTGAAATTTCTCTCCACGTTTGATGTAGCGAAGTATAAAGATGAAATATGAAACCAATAAATTTAACCTCATAACTTCCTCACATTGTTCTATTTCCATATTTGGCTTAATAAAGTGAAAAGACAAAAAAAAAACGATCAACTAACCCCCAAAAAATTCACGTAGATCATCTTCTGTACAAGACCATGGCAGTCCGCGACATTTCATTACGAAATCCGTATCCGGCATTTTGTTTTACTTTCAACGGACAAAAAACCAGAAAAAAAAACCTAACGCAAATGTCAAAAAATGCTTGCAAACAAAAGCACAACGCTGACCGGCCCGAATATCCCAGAAGTAACAGAATGGAGAATGCGACAACAAATCTGAAACATTCACAAACGCTTTTATTTAATGCAACCACCTAATGAAAATTTATAGTCTATTGTTATACTAAGCCTAACAACACCAACTGATGAAAACTAACCGGATCAGGTCAGTTGATCGCTGATGACCTACTTGAAAATAACCGGATCAGGTCAGTTGGTCGCTGATGACTTACTTGAAAACTAGCCGGCTCAGGTCAGTCGATCATTGATGAATTACTTGAAAACTAGCTAGATCAGTTGATCATTGATGAGTTACTCCTGTTTAGTTATTTGTTGCAATCCTGCATCTCTATTGATCGGCGCGAAGGAAGGAGTTGATGCTTTTGAATTTGATTTTTACGCAGTTTTAAGCCTTCGATCGAAAAATTCATAAATATTTCGCAAAATCTTGTGGAATTCTCTCAAATCATAAAAAACCGCAAATATAATATTACAGTAAATTTCAGATAAATGCAAAGTTGCCTTTCATCGATAGTAGCATATCAAGTATATTCAGGTTTCAATTGCTCACATATTTCCCTACTCAATTACCAATTTCCAAATAAATTGAAAGAACATGGAAGAAAAAGAAGTCATCTTGCAACATCATTTCAGTGATTAGTTGTGCAAAATACTAACATTTTGAGTGGAAGTAAGCTTCAGAAATGATCATCGGTCAAACTCGATTTATAATTTAAGATAGTAAATTTATTAAGCCAATATATACAAAGAGATAGCTTTCCAGAAAGCATAATTTGAGTTGACAAAATAATTTCGAAATTTGAAAATTTCAAATTTTAATGTTAAAACAAAACTATATGAGATCCATACAGATAACTGGGAAACAATCACAAAACTATACAATATAAAAACATTAATTCTTTCAGAATATTGACCGGCGGTAATAATATGAATTTAAAAAATATAAAAGTTATGAAAATATCCTAAATTCGAAGATACCGCACATTTCAACAAATTAATACGGAATATTCAGTTTAAATTTTATCCCATTTCTTCTAATCCAAATTTTCAGATAAAAGTGTAAAAATTTATTCGAGGAAGTAAATTTAGGAGGACTCATTGTAGTGGATAATAAAGATCAGAAAATTAAAAGAAAAAGTAGCACGACAATTACAATTCATACAATTTCATTTCAAAACAAAAAGGAATTAAAAACAACCTAAATTGAGCCAATTTCTTGTTGGGTTCATTTCTGAGGGTTCTTGTGGAATAGCATATAATAAACTTAATGCTGAAAGCATTTCTCAAAAAAATCCACCAACATAGTGAATAGATGTAGACGGGCCCAAACTAGGCTATGGCTTGCATCTGGATATACCTATAAATATATTATTATATTCGCGTCATTTCAAATTAAAAAAACTATTATGGAAAGTCCTTAAATTGAAAGATTTAAGGTTAGTACCATAAAGTACCATAAAATTTTTAGTACCATAAAATAATAATATTAGTCGATTACACGGAATGTTCTTTTGAAGTTTTCGCAAGAAAGGACATGCTTGTTCAATTTATTGCTTTAGAAAAACTTGCTTTAATCAAATTTTGCGGTCTTCGGTCATTCAAATTTTTTTTTTCTTTCATTCATTCAAAAAATGAAATCAAAAAAAAAAAAGGTATTAGGTTATCGAATCTCTGAATTTCTTTACATTCTTCTTTGTCTCTCAACCAAAATTTTAAAATTTGCAAGGACAAACCATAAGTTGGAATTGTATATTTTCTTCACCCAGCGCTCTTATCAGTTGCGCAGAATTTTGCAAATGGACGTTATCTGTAAATAACAGCTAGAATTAGAAGAAAAAAAAAAAAGAACATTTGATACTGTTCCGAATCATCGCCTTAATTTCAAGAAAATTATACTGAACAAAAGAAGATTTGTAACTCTGAAAAGTGTTTCGAAATATTGTGCTGTCTAGAAAATGATCGTTGAATTATGTAAACTTCAGCTTTTTTGCTAGAAATGTTAAAAAGAACAGTTTAGAGGTCGTTCCTATTTACCTTATTAGCCAAAAAAAGCCAAATGACTGGAAGTGTGCCAAAAAAAAACCGAATTATGCCGAAATAAAATTGCACTGAGTCCAAAAGATTAAAGATAGTTTTAATTGAGTAATCTTTAGACAAATATAAAACTATTTCAAATTGTGTCTCATGTAAGCATTCATTTATCCAACTCTCATCTTGCAGTTGTAGCTAAGCTTACCTGCATTGTCTAAATTTTTCAGTTGTAAACAGAGTGTGTGCGCACTACTTAATATGTGATTTCAGCTCATTTAATTTGATCCATTTAAATCCTTTATCATTTATTTCTTCAGGTCATCTTATACTTGCAGGTAAGTGTATTGTTGCTATGCATTAATATTTATGTATTACGGTTGTTAGCAAATAAAGGCCGTTGCAACTCGATAATATGTGTTGCAAGTGTAAGCAGTAATACTAACTTAATTTTAGTCTGATCTGTGAATGAGTAAAAAAGAATGTGACAAACAAACAAAGTATTCTAAAATGATCTTCCCAAAATTTCTTACCATCAGACATTCCATGTACGAGCAGAAACTGCACTTCTTTGAACATGCTAACATTTCTGATAAGATTGGCTTGTTCATATGCAAGTTCACTTGCATTACCCATATAACGTTCCGTGTATGTGGCATCTGCAACTTCAGAAACTTCTATGAATTCAGAATTCAAATTTAAAACGCTATGAATCAGCAACTAATCTCGAATATCGCAAATGTTTTCTCACATGGTTTATTACTGTTTTCTTTTTAAAACTTACCATATAACTTGAAATCCGTAACAGGTGCAATACTCACAGCACATTTGAACAAATGACTTGCGTCACGCTCGACCACATGCGCTGAGACAAATCCACCATAAGACTATAAGGAGAAATTATCTAACATGTATGCTTAGTTCAAATTAGGTAAAATATTATATGAGAGTCTGTAGTATATAAGAGTCTTTTTTGCTCATGCAATGTTAAAGCACTCAGCGGATACTTTTAGATTAAAATTTTCCTTTTTTTGAATTTTAGCTGATGAATATGTTTTTTTAATCATTTGTATAGTTTAAAGTGATTACAAATATCCTACAAAACTAATAACTTACCCATCCCCAAATTGCAATATGCATAGAATCAATAAATCGATGTTTAGAAGCTAAGATCCTAAAAAAAAAAACAATTTGAACAAAATATTCATAAACGAATTGAAGTGTTTAATTTTCATAATTTCCAGAGCAGAGGATCAAAATTTTTAAAACCATAATAGAATCTTTTCTCGCTTAAATTTTTAAAAATAATGAATGGAATGACTGGAGAACTTACTTTACCGCCTCAATTTGATCATCAATTTCCACCGTCCCTAAATGGCCATATACTGGTTCTTTGTATTTCCACCCTCTCATACCGGATCCACGACCATCAATGTAAATAACAATGTACTTTGCACTGGATGCTAGAAACATATCCAATGTGTTTGGTGTTATCTCTTCAGTAACCTTTTGTGAACCTGGCCCAGTATACCTGTAAATAGTATAAAAATTTGGAAAATATTTCAACAAAACAATTAAATCGATAGTTGTGCGAAGTAATGATGATGAAAAAAGTAACCTGTAAATAAAATGAGCAGATCAAAAACTTACACAGAAACAATGACAGGATATTTGATATCGATAGCTGCTTGATCAAAACCTGGCGGTAATAGCATCTTTACGATTGCTACTGCAATGTTGGTTTCATTTTGGCATTTTATCTGTGTTATGTAAGTGTATTTGACAAACACTCACTAGTTGTATCCATATTTGATGTTCGGTTAAACTGGCAATGTTTCGAGATAGCCTTGACATTATAAAGTAAAGAGCTTTCAGGACCTATCATCTGAGGACTAATTGAATGGTTTAAAAATGAGTGAATATAACACTTGCCATATCCATTACGTAAAGTAATATTTTCATATCGTGTTGTAGCGAGAGCTTTTTCGTTGTACTTTTGTTCTAGATTCTTCCATTCTGTCAACTCTTCACCTACAAAGTAATGTCAGGTATAAATTTGACTACAAACTAATATCAGGTATGGTATTATTACCCTTCTTTCCTCTCTGAAACAGTAACATAAGTTTCAGTCTAGAGCTTAAATTTAATCAAAGTAGTAAAGTTTTTTGCTAAAATGATAAGAAAATTCCTGCTAAAATATATTAACATAAAACATGTATAACTTGCAAAAAAAATTGTGAAGCTTTGTTTTAGAACCGTTTATTTAATTATCAAAAAATTGAGGTTTATATTAAGGGAATGTTCAATCATTTCTTTTTTTATTTTTTTATTTTTTTTGGACAATTACCCAATGAGTTATTGGAGGAAATAGATGATAAGTATGCTCGAGGTGTGCCTGGGCCACGACAACTCAGAATGTATTTATCTAAATTGCTCGAAAGTATCACATCCTGGAATGTACAATCCGGTGCAACACCACATGTCACGCATTTTGCTGGATTGTTCTTTTTGGTCTGAAATTGCTGCAATAAGAGACTTACACATTCCTGATCTTCTTGATCCTTTAATCAAATTTTCAATTTGAACTTTTAAAGTCAAGTTTCTGTTCGTTTTCAGTGATCTATTGAAGAAATGGTGATTATTAAAAGTTTTTGTTTTCAATTAAATTAAGATGAAATTAATTTAGCACATGATATGAAGCCGTGTACATATGCCTTTGTGATGGTAGTGGTGATGCAGCCATAAAGTACCTGAAAAACTAACAGGTACGTTTTTGTAGATGACAGGAAATATAGTTAAAATAATTGGAAGAGATTTGCTCTAAACGTTTTCTAGAACATTTTTCCTTCGAATATTTGAAAGCAAATTATTTTAATTTTATTTTGAATTAACTGAAATGGAATCACCACAACTTTTACGAAAACCTAAACTATGAATAGTCTATCCAGAAAAATATCGGGATATGGAAATATGCTTACACAAGTTTTGTCTTCTGATTGTAACCAATGATCGATGTCACATCATAATCACTCCATGTAAGAAATGTCACTCTTCCGTTTGTGTAACTTCTCTGCAAACAAAATATAATCTCAGTAGTTCACCTCTACATTACTAAATCTTATTAAAATTCAACTACTAGAAAACTGACCTACAAGATATGCAAAACTTACAGGTACAGATACTCGAGCAACTTGGGTGAATATTTCACCGGATGCAGTATGTCCAGGTAAAGTGATGAAGTACGAATCATTAGAAAAGTGTCGAATCCGAAAATTTTCCGGTTCAGCCCACAATTTATGTCCAGCAATAGTATAGTACTGATTGAAATTCTGAAAATATGAAGTATGAATTCTTTTCAAAACAAATTAAATATAAGTTTTTTGTTTATAGATATAATTTCTGAAAGTAAACGGGCTTTTAGAAAAAAAAAAGTGATTTGTATGCAAGGGTGACCTACCAGGACGCATATTCCGGAGTCGAAAGTACAAATTGTAATTGATATAACATTTTGGTATCTGTTAGCAAATACAGCTATCAAAAGATCTTCATTATACAGCGATATCCAGGAAACTGAGAATAAGTAAGTTGTTAAACTGAAAACAATTTCGTTGTCTAATTTTAAACTGTCATTTTTAATCTTACTGAAATTAAATATATTAACATAGATAGAAGCTTATTTAAAATCAACTATACAACTTGGAATAAACTGATACTTCCATGTCTATATCATTTGACATTGTGAGAATAACCTTTTCCGCCCAAGAACAATGTCCATTTTTCGAGATATTTTACTTTCCTTATCCCAAATATTGATCGTAATTTCAGGTAAGTGTTTGACACCAGTTTTTGGATAAGGTATCTTGTTCATCGCCGGATACTGCTGCTGTCCGAATAGCGGATACTGTATTAGTGGAACCCTACGATCGTCAATCTTGATGAAAGCCAAATACCGCCCTGATTTTGACCACCATAAACCCTTAAAAGAACTTTTTATTAGTTGGAATAACTATTCAGCCAAAGATTAGCATTACCGGTTGTATATTTACTTACTACATTACTGTTGAAAATCTCTTCCTCATAAATCCAGTCCGTAATACCATTATATACCAATGTGTTATTATCTCGGGTAATCCGGTGTAAATGGCTGCCATCAGGTCCTTCGCTGTAATAAATATCATTTTGGTGTACGAATGCCTGCAAAACCGTTATTCCGAAAAAGCCTTTTTCCAAAAATGAAATTACAAAGAACATAATCTCTTTTGCAACCATTTACTATAACTGTTGGAAATTTTTCGATTATATCATGTACAAAGAACGTTCTTATAAGACGATAGAACAAGGCCCTTTTTTCCACATTATTCTAATAAAGAGGGAAAGTTTCTAGGCTTATCCCGAAAGTTTTACAGTAGATAGCACAAACCATACGAAAGTCCGGAAATTAAAACAATTTTCGTTTTATTTGAATGTTCAACAGGCATAAGATATTCTAGCTGACAAAATATGAACAAATAATGTTGCTTATTGACATCTTGAAAAAGTTATTGTGTCTTTTTATATTTCAATTTTATGCTTGATTCAGAAGACAGAACAGATGGAATTATCTAGAAAAATAAATGTCTTCTAAATCTGAAATTTTCGAAAAATTTTGCGAAGCTTTCCTCATTTATTCATTCCTTACTCTTGAATGTGCCAAATTAATAGATGCATCACGTGGAAATATGAAATTGTGTACTATGCTATGTGAAAAAATACACTGAGTAGCTAATATCTCTTGAACTGTTATATTTTAAAATTGATTTGATTATATCTCAGACAAGGTATAATCAAAACCATTTGTAAAGCTCACGAAATCGTTTGATGCTGGATTCCAAACAAATTGTTGCAACAACTCATCACCCATTCCTTCCGGTCCAACCGATGCAAATGTTCTGCAACTACAAATTATATAGCAGGATAAGAAATGACTGATCAAAATTTATCTATAGAGTAAATATCAAACTGAATATGGAAAATCTCAAAAAGACTTACTCAGATTGAATGGAATAAATTAGATAAGTCATAGCGTTACCACTCTGAAACTGTATTCCAGGATAATTTATAAATCTCACCAAGTGCAGCACTTATATTAGGCGTTTAGTGATATTAAAAGTTAATATTAGACAAGTACCATCTCCAAATTGTTCAAAATCCAAAAAGAAAATTAAGAAGGGAATATCGAAATTTACCCTCTTGTTATCATATGAGATGGCGATATAGGAAGAATCATGCGAGAAAATGAATTGGTTAATATGTCCTTGTCTGCCCTCAAAATAAACATCTTTTATTCAGCTGAATAACTTCAACAAATTTGATAAAATAAAACTATTTCATTAGACAGTAAATTCAATAGAGTAACAAGAATATAAATATGAATTTGGCTTTCAAAAAAATTTTTGTAATATTAATGTTTGTTTTTTCGAAACATTTATGTGTCACCGATCAAAGATCACCAATTTCAAGTACCATATTACCAACCAGGATGTCATCCTTGGTATAGAGATAAGAAGTAATCGGTAATGAAGAAGTGTTGACTATTCTAATTGAATTTATAGCTCGAAGTACAATTTGGTTATCGTCCATCCATTCGATTGTCTCTATTGGACTCAACAATGTATTATACAAAATATCTGTTAACGTTAGCGGCGTACCTTTGATCGTCCCACTAAGAGTGGCTAAAATTTCATCATTTCAAGTTACTCCAATCTAAACTGAATATTTTCACTTTTGCTAAAGACGAAGATTTTCGAACAAGGCGGAATTACAAACAAAATTTGATTATTTTGAAATCATAGATAAACTATCTTCTGCAATTTTATTAGTAAATGAAGTTAGTTTGTGAAGTTCGAATCCTAAAATAAGTGAACTACGAAATTTACTTTTTGTACAATTTCATATGATGCATTTGAGTGAAATGAAATAACTTCAGTAGCTATGTGATAATCAATCCAATAAATAATGTTATCAATGAGCAGTGGCAATTATATATGTGAAATATTAGTGAACAGTCACTTACGTGTAAAAGAAATAACGAAATTTAGAAGATATAATCAGTACAATAGAATTTGAAATTACTTCACTTCTCAAAAATTATACATACATTTTGTCTCAAAAGTCTCAATTTAATAAACAACAATTATTGTAAACTAAGATGAGACTTTTTTCATTTTACTTTTTCTATTGTTTACTTCAGTAATAGAATGCATTAATTTCTTTCATACATATATTTGCATAAATCATCATGTACATTTTAGCATTGTAAATTTCCTACAGATTCTATTATTCGTCGTATAAACTATCGAATCCTTTCATTTAGGCATCAACATTTGATATTAAGATCAAAAGGATTCGATAGTTTGCTTTATGTGTAGCTTAATTCATCAGTTACTTAGCTGGAGTAAACAAAAGAGTAGACCTAAGTTTACTGTGACATGAAAAGCAAAAGGCAACAGTTAGCACTGGGAGATTTCTGTGGTACAAATGAATGCTGTAGAAGCACTTTCATCATTGAGTAAATCCTTTATATCGTTCCTATTTAACTGACCCGTGCTATTTCGGATGTTCTCAATGCTTGTGGCACTTCATTTCGTAAGCATAAGGTTAACTGAAGATAGCTAGGTGATAACTCACACGGAGTGATAAGAAGTGCAGTGGCGATGATAAGCGAACACATAGCCGCAATAACCAGCAGAGCGATAATAATACCACGCCAGTTGCGTTCGAATGGTCCCGAAGATATTAACTCCTGTAAAATTAAATGAAATTTTGCTTGAATTCATTTCAAAAGGATTAATTAAAATATTAATTTGCAAAAATAATAATGCAAGCTATGATACTTCTAAATTTAACTCACTGTACATAACTTCAGCTAAAAAACATACACATTCTTTTGTGTTAGGAAGAAAAAAAAGCCCGACGAGACCAAACTGTAATTGCTATAAGAAATATGTTAGTAACAATTGATCAGTGAATAATTATCTAAGCAACATCAGTAGTAGTACAAAAGTAATAATAACACGCTTTGAAGTAAAGTTAATCGCCACACTGATTATAAATCAAGAAAGAATTAATTAATTCCTATCTTTTTATATCATAAATTGAGAATTTGTTGAGTATAAAAATTTGAATAAAACCTAAAATTATTAGCTAAAAGCAAATCGATCATAGATTACCAATGCATTTGTTTCTTAAACTCGTTATTAATGTGAGACATTACCAATTAAATTATAATTTGGCTTCCTAACACAAAACAAGGGGGAAATAATTAGCTCCTATCTTAAAGTTCAAAAGTATGCAAAATTCAATTCTTATAGACTTATAAATCTTGTAGTATTATTCATTAAATTTGCTGCTATATAGGTAGGATTTTTATATTCCTAAAATATGGCAGTAAATTGGAAAATAGATTTCAGAGAAAAGAGAAGCGCAGTTGAATTTATTTTTATTTAATGGATTATTTAGGAAAAAATTTCCATTAAAGCAACCTTTTCTATGATGCTAAAAAGTAATTAAAACGCGGATACAGTAATTCTTACCTATTATACTTAATATTGGGAGAAAAGTAAAGAGATAATCTGCCTGATATGTTGACAGACTTACTGCAGTAAGTGAAAATACGCTTTGAATTATCAGAATTACATTCTTTTTTTTGTAGTAGCAAAGCTTACTCAGACAAAAACTGCAATTCAATTTCAGACTTACATTAGGCTATTTGCAATATTGCCTTGTTTTAAACTAACTTTTTAATACCAATTCAATAGGCTTTAGTTGAAGGAATGTAATCTTTTCATTGCTTTCGTTTTAAGGGAGAAACAATTTGAAGTAACGAACGAATAAGCTTGTGATCCTTTCACTTTGTACAAGACGAATAGCCTGAGATTTGACGAGAAATCAAATAAAGTAAATATTACTTTATGTTTTTCGGTATCATTCCACTTTGTCATCGCAAGCAAAGTTTGATAGTATTTATTTTGCATTTAAAATGTTTCAGTAGGAGAAACGCAAAATTCAATAATTTCTTCCAGAAATTCCTTGCACGAAATGAATTACTCAATAGATTTAGACAAGGAATGCATACTTCAGTGCAGCAGTGTTAAGGAAAACCAGAATAGAGAAATGAGAAATGATATTTATTTAATGAAACGAGTAAAATAAGCAGAAAAGTATGTAACGAAAAAGTAGACTGGTTAGTTCTGAATAAATCAAAATCTTTTTTCAATAACGAATAAGGATGATAAAATTAAACTAAACGGAATGAGAGAAAAGTGATTATGAAATTGTTTTGAAATTCATTCATCGAAAAAGACAGATGAGAGTGGCAACAAAAAAAACAAAACAAAAAGGCAATGAGAAATCAGTCAACATTTTTTTTTTTTTTTTTGAAAAGAACATCTTTTTTAAATACCAAATTGTGTTTAATGAAGCGCAACAGTCAGGGAATTAAATATTCGGTTTAATTGAGCACAAACTGAACAGGAAGCGAAATTTTGCAGTGCTATATCAGAAATTTTTGCAAATCAGAATTGTCGAAAAATAATTGTCGTAAGAAATATGAGGAAAGGGCAACGGAGAATGTTCAACAGAGGACGTAGATAAAAAATTTTGAAATGGATTGGATTAGAGGATTTATAAGATGTTAATGCAGTTTTTTTTTTTCTAAATTTATTAACACAAGTGTTCACAATTGTTTTTTTCTTTTTCTTCAAGCTTATTTTATTATCCTGAAAAGTTTCGTTTTTTGCTACTTCAGATTTTATTAAAATATAAAGAATGCTGTCATTGTCGCATTTGTTGCAAAACACTAAATAAGAAATCTAGAATTGCTATCAAATAATAAACATTCAAATGCAGTTCATAAGTGTGTATGGTCAACGATTTATTGGGAAAAAAAATAAAAGATTTTTTTTTCTAAATAACACATTGGAAATTCACCAGCAAGATTGAGACTGTTCAATAGTTAAGTTACTTCGGACTTTCCTCAATGTCTCCGAGTTCATTTGCGTTACCGCACTAAATTTTCACGAAAAGTATTTATCTCCGTGTCCAGATACGGAAATATAAACCCGGATTCCCATTCGATTTATTAGATGGATTACACCTCCATTCCTCCATTTTGTTAAAATATCTTGGGAAGACTGACCCATATTCAACTGCTGTTCACGTGGAATCCTTGTTCAGTTAACATTAGCTAATCTTTTCTTGGTTTATGTGAAGCTTCTGAAAAGTATTCCCAATTTCTGATCAGAAAGCGATTCCTGGACGTTGTCATAAAATTTTGTTCTTCTCTATTCGACAATGCATGTAATAGTATACAAATTCTTAGGTTTCTTTATCCAAAACCATAATTAGAAATAAAAAATAGAAGTGAAAGGAAACTGAAAGTTCCTTTACGCTGAACTTTTATGAGGGAACAATTCTTGATGTCCCTTAGATAATTAGCATTTAGAGACCAAATAAAACGACAATCATCCTGTTCTACAAGATATTTCGAAGAGAACAATAGGGAAAAATGACCTAAAAAAAAAAAAATATCATTCCAATTCTTTTGCATCACTTCCACACAATGGTATCACATGTCATTTAGATATTGTATCTTTAATTATAAATTAAATATAAAATTGATGGATTATTGGAGGAATTAAAATGTAAGGTTTCTTAGGAAGGAGAGAAATGTACCAAAGAGCTAAGGGACGGTAAACATATTTCTGCTTCTATAAAGTTTGAGAAGTTCGAAGAAGCACCAAACTTAGAATTATTTTTTAAATTCTTACGTTAACCTTTCAGACTCTCTGAAACATAGTCCATTTGTTTAACTGTTGCTAAAAAAGAGCAAACAAAAAAAAAAGCATTACAAATTTGAAAGCAACGTTAATTGAGAGATACTGCAATGTACAAAAGCCAAATATTGTAAGTTAAATATAGAGAGACACGGATACATGTATATGAGGCGCATTTTGAATGAAATTGAACAGAAGTGATTTTGTGAGAAGAGAACATGGATAAAGCATGGAGGAAAGATGTAAGCTATTAAAAATTTGTTATTAAGGTATTTAATGTTTGTGAATAAATGAATTCTTCTGCCTAGAAAAAAAGTTAGTAGCTCATGTATGAGAGAAGAAATGTGCCCAATTATCTGCGAGGAGAAAAATGAGAACTGTAAGATATCAGGAATGAAGAAATGTTGAGTACTTTCACTTAAGATGGAAAAATAGGAAGGAAAAGTGAGTGATAATAAATTTAAGATAATATTGGAAAACATTTCTTATCAGGATCTTATCATTCCTGAAATATAATACGAATTAGTGATAAGATATTAAACTTTCAACTTTTGACACGCTACATACCATACTCTCATCTATAAAAAAATTTGAAAAAAAAGAAAATTTCTAGGTCAATGAATAAATTCGATTACTGACCAACGGTTATTAGTATAAAAGTACAAATCTAGACTCAAAAAATATAATTTTAAGACTGAACCTGCGAAATACGTAAACTATAACTTTTAAAAACTTGAAATGAATGTAAAAATCAATTTACATGAGCAAAATACCATTCTGAAAATCTTTTAATGATATGATATGCATTTTCTTGTAGTAATACATATATCTTTAAGTGCTTCTGATTAAACCGGTTTATACAAATAAACCACTGAAAGATGTTTGCGAAACTCTCTATCAATCCATTCGGTTAAGTGCACCGACAGATTAGATTGGCAGTAATTTTTAAATATGCGAATTTATGTACTTAAAATTAGATCCATTAATTCTAATAAGATTAACAAAATACTTATGAATGCTTAAGTGCAATATGTCACAGAAATATTTAAATATGTAAATTTTTCGTCTACAAAATCAAAAATTGCAAAGATTAAATCGAATTAGTCTTTAAATTATGTTTTAAAGAATTTATAAAAATTTGTTGAATATAGGAAGTTAAGCAAGCAAGTTGTGAAGGCCTGTGAAAGTGCCTTACTAAGCAAATTAAATACAATGAAGGGATGAAATTGAAATGAAACGTTGTATTAGGCATAGTGTTCACATATGCCACCCAGGCGCATTTCCCGAACGGATAGATTATGATAGGCACTTGGGCAACTGGCAAATATCTGTGAAGTGATATGTAAGCAGTAAATATCGGAAGGAATTAGTTCTACTCTCTCGGGAATTGCTATTTCGGTCATTTCTTTCTTTTCTGTTTCTCTCAGTGCTGTTCGTTTTTACTGATTTCGTTTCTTCGGATCATAACAAATTTTGTTTTCTTATAGGAACATAGAATCATGTTTTATGAGGCATAAGTAAAATGGACGAAAACATGATTCACTCATCCGGAATTAGAACTGCTGGAATAAGGAAGAATTATTTGAATAGTAATTTTTAGCCTGTTGTATAATCTGTCACAAGGAGAGAAATTCATTTTACATATCCAAATGTAAAAAAAAAATGGGTAAATAGACAAATTTGTCCAGAAATTTCTGAAAAGCTTGGTATTTAGAAGATGTTTATTTTTTGAATAATTACGTACTTCAAGTATTTCAAGTTTTTATGAGAAGGAACAAAAAAAAAAAAAAAAAAAAAAACACTATAACTTTCCGGAAGCTACTGTTAATAAATGATATCACTTGTTAGATGAATTCTTCCGGCTTCATGTCTTGCTAGGTACAGTCATCTCATGTGTTACTCGATACTTGTGAAAAAAAAACATTCGAAAAACTGAGGAAGAATATATAGTATTCTTCCTACATACATTTTAGAACATACGAATATAACAATTTCTTTCCTCGAAATTTGTAACATGTCATTGGCAGTAAACACACAACTTCAACTGATAAACATAAGTGAGTTGCACTCGTTTCTGTTTTAATAGCAAACTGTTAAAAAAGATTTGTCATACTTCTAGCTATTAGCGATACTATTAAGAGAGTATGTTTGCAACAAACAGGTTACTTTTGCAGTTTGCATAATTTACAAAGATTGTAATGATTGAAAGATAAGATGAAAGGAACCTTGTCAGCTCCTTCTAGAAGATCTGCATCGTTGTTTGTTATTGAGATTGTCATAATTCATTAATTATATCAGGAATTGCCTGATCCGCTTCCTTCAAAAAGTATCACATCAAAGCCAAGTATATGACTGACTTTCCAACTATGGTTGACTGAGTAGCAAATGATTGATCAGACAAAACAGAATTGAATATATCAGAACCTCAACAATAAGTAATGATTTACAACAACGGTAAAAATTATCTCGAAAAGTTTTTCGATTCTATAAAATGTTTAAAACTTTCTGAATTTTCCAAAATGAGTTTCTTTAGAAATGAAGATGTAATAAAACAAAAGATATGTATAAACAGACTTCGTGCAATTCATCCAGTAAGAGCTGAAAATAAAGGCGCAGTTGGAATAGTGAGAAGTCGGATATTAGTCGTATTTTAAAAGAAGACAGAAAATGAATGAATGCTTCACATCACTTCACTTCATTTCAGCAACACTAGGTCTGTGTATCGATTAGACGAGTAGCTACGTTATGTTATTTATATTCATAAGCAAAAGCATATGTGATGGATGGAAAGCTCAACTTCAGTATATGGCGGAAAAATTCTGCTTCAGTAAGCTATCATTTAATGATTAATTTAGAATATTTCTCTTATTTATAAGCATCTGAACTCGCAAGGAAAGTTTTATGATATTGAAGGTGTAATAACTTTGAAGTTGCATATTTCCTGATGATATTTACCAAGTGAATTCTAATTAACTTATGTAAGATTTGTACGTTTCGAAATTGAATTAAATGAGGTAAAGAAATGTAACATATGAAAAACTAGAAATCAGTGGTGAATGTAAATGCTGAAGTAGTAGAATTAATGAAAGGAGAAGATTGTCAGAGTGTTCCAGTCCTTGATAGTACTTAGTACAACCGTAATCTTTATAAAAAATCTTTATATTATGAGCATTAAACGTTCCCTTTCTGTTGCTGACGTGTATAACGTACTCACGTTTCAGTATATGATGTCCTCTTCACATGTTGTATTTCTAATATCTATACTACACTTATATTCACTTTTTGAAATTTACTATATTATATTGAAATGTTTTGAATAACAAAAGATAACAGATTGGTTCAGTGATCGGAAGGAAGTCCATTTACTTTCCATTGCTTCATTAGAATATCTGCTCTGATGAAGTACTGAAATGAGACAATGTTCTGACTATCGTTTCTGATTTTTCCCTAAAGATCAATTAAATTGAAGTCTGTTCATTAATTTATTATACGGATGAAATAATCAGAGACGAAAATCAGTTATGTTTGAAAGAAATATGCAGAAGGGCATCTTAAATTTAATTTTTTTGATTTTATTTCTCCTTTTTACGCATCATCGCAAAAATCTTTGTATCACATTCCCAATCTCTTTGTTGCTCCAAAATTTCGCCAATTTTTCTCGTAAATGAAAGAATTAAAAATTTTGGTATTTATTGGATTTTGGATTTTACGTTAAATTATTTCGAATAAGGAAAATATTTACTGAATGGGTCCTAAATTTAAATTTATGAAAAAATGAGATTTTTAACAGTGTAATAACCGCAAATAGCATTTTGTTTGTAAATATCTAAATTAATAGGCTAAAAATGCCTGGATAAGATGTCCTTTAATCCTTTTAAAATGTAACAGTTTTAAATTTTAATTAAAATATTTGAGGTGAAGTAAAGATGATGAAAAAATTATCGCACATTTCATGAAGAAGTAAAAACATGATAATTTGAAATGATAGTTCCTTTTTTCTTTCCATGTTGAAATTAAGTGAATAGCATTATATCATTGAGTGATTTAATTCTTCAAGACAATCACTATTTGACCTTGTCCCCCTAAGTTCGAGACTCGGGATAAAAAGAAATAAGTCTTTTTGCACAGTAATCTAAAATGTTCTTAAAATAATCGAATATTTATAGCATTAAAGTCAATACTTCAATTTTACTAATATTAAATGAATATCACGGCAATCTTATATAAATTAGATTTTGTAGAAAATTTAAAAGTACCCTCCAGCCATACGTAATTATAGAAAAAACTAACCTCTTGAGTTCCTTCTAGAATTTCGATCTCAGGAATGTATCCCATTATCGATTCTTTAATGATCACAACTTTCCGTCAATGTTTACTAATTACTGCAATCTGAAAACGTTATATATGACTTGTTGATCATTAATCTAAAAATGAGATTTTCTTCTCGTTCTATGTGGAATGGTGTCATTATTTAATTTAGTGATATTCAACACAAATTTCGATATTCTTTTTTCATTTCTTTTATCCTTTCTTCTTAGAACATAAAGACTCATAATTTCAACTTCGTCACCAACTTGATCTGTTAATTTAGAATAAATACATTTCTTCATTTTTTATACGTTACATTCTTGCACTTCCTTAAATTTTCAAAAATATTTTGTTGCCTCCCTAAACCTCAACTTCATCAGCAAGTTAGAGATTGATGATGCAATAAGAATTTTCAAAAGAATTTAAGACTTCTTTGGGGGTATTGTTCAAGATCATATTCTTGTTTATTAAAGCTTTACTGTTTGGATTCAACACTTATATTTTCAAAAATTTTTTAAAGGAGGAATTTTAAGGATAAATCATTTAGGTAGCAAAAAAGAAAAGCACCTAATATTAAACTTAAATTCGTATAAACTTAGGTAAGCATGAAATTTTTACTGCAAGACAAGCAAATGTGTTTTAATCATTCAGAAATTTTGAAAATTGCGCAGCGATAATTACACTAGAAAATCCACTGAATGGCTTATAATGTTTCAATAACATTTCTCGATGAATTTAAATAGATTTAAAAAATACGAAGAAATATTTGAAATTCTTTAATCTGAATGCTTTCGATGTTGGAAACGAGAATTAATTTCTTTTTTGTTACTAAAGAAAAATTCTTTATTAGGTGTCTGAGAGCTATTAAGTCTTTAAACTATTAGCATAAATAACTGAATAGCCTTCACAAAACAAACTTCATTTTGTAATTAAAAAAGCTGTGGTTTATATTATGACGCTCGAAGAATATTTTTCCATGAAAAAGAATACTTGACGAGAAGATCCTTAGTAAATTCCACAGGTATTCAAGAATGTTTTGCAAAGCGCTGTAAAGTTGGCCTTACTAGTTTACATTTATAATATAATATGACAAATAATTTAGTAAAGGAAATTGATTAAAAAAAGATATGCTAATTAGAGCTTATAGGTACTCATCAATCTTCAATCTTCAATAAAATAAGACATCAAGATCGAAAAGTTGTCATCTGTCTAACACATACAGGTTCCTGCGAGAAGGAAGAAATGAGGCAGTTATTTTGAGCCTTTCACTAAATCGTTTGAATAGAAACTGTGTTTAGAAAGTTGGCTGGAAAGGCAGACATTGGCGGAAGATTAAATAATTTATAATTCCTTAATGAAATTCGGAAAAGATGGATGTGATAGCTGAAGACTGAAGGGAAACAGGAATGAGTAGAATGATTAGAGAAGAAAAATAAGCCAAAACCTGAAATGTAAGATTACAGGAAGTAGATAAATAAGTAAGTTACAAACTTAAACCAATCTTTATTAATCTGTCAATGAGGGGGCGTGGTTACTACTCGGGAAATCAAAGGATATGCCACGTGTCATATACGTCCTCACGAAGAAAGGACAATTTCTAATGTTAGTGAAATCAGTCAAATTTAAGAATTTGTAGATAAGGGATGATAATAGATCAGCGTGTCAGAAGTTATAAACATATGTGTTAAAAAATAACCTTAAAAGAGCTGTAAAGTAAGGTTTTGCACAAAAAAAAAAAAAAAAAAAAAAACGTTACAAGTGAAAGTCATAAGTGAAACTGAATAAAACATAGGTAAAATGGAATTGAAGATATTCCTGATGTAGCTTTAGCTCTAAGATCATGGTGGCCTCCATTTTTCAGCAGTGAACTAAATTTAATCTGTGGAATCAAATAATCATAGATTTGAAAAATAAAAGAGATTAACAGGAGAGAATTCGGAATGGCAAGATACTTTTCAAATGTCAGTCCCTGCTAAGTTTACCTTAAATGCTATTCTTCTATCAACAACTTCTTTCTTCCTTTTCTTCTAAATTTTACTCTCATTTGGTAGTAATATAGTTTATGGGACAGGAAACAAAAAACTAATTAGTATAATGTTGACATATTAACTGATTAATTTTTTTTAATGATTGAATAAATTAAAATCAGTTTGATTATATTAAATTAATTCGATTTGACTAGTTAATTTAGTTTAACCTACTGATTAATCGAAATAAGACATGTATAAAAATATTCAAAATTTCAGACACTAATAAAGAATGTTTTAAATTTCTATGATTGACTTCTAGTTTTTTTGTGGAGAGAATTTCTGGATTTTTTTTTCTGAAAAATTCATCAAGTTAAATGGCAGAAGAGAAAGAACGCTTTTCTTTAGTCCTTTATGATTATTTTCTTCTATCCCTAAAATGTAAGACTTTTTTAAATTCGTCGTATCTTATTTCGGAAAAATGATTCCAATTATAAATTATAATTAGTGGAAAATAGCAAATCACAAGTAAGTTTAACTTTTTTCAATGCAAAATTTCTTTCATCTAATCTATTTCAACTCAAAACTGTTTAGGGTTTTAAATCTTGACCATTTCTATTTTTTGCATATTTTATTCAGATTTTGTAATGGTTCATAATAACCTAATAGATGTATATTTAATAGCGCAATATAACATACTCATTTGGAAAGAATTATGCTTTCATTTCTTCTTTAATTCATAAAAATGAAATAAGTTTGAAATTTTCAGATCTGTAAAGATTAGAAATAATTTTTAAAGAAGCAAAATCAATTTTTTAAAATTACAATATTTATTTTACCTTAGAAAATGATAATTTACTCAATTGAATCATGGATTAAGGAATACTGAGATAAAATGTTATAAAAATAGAAAATTTTCAAAAGATTATCTAGCCAAACACAGTTCAGAAAAAACTTTTGCTCTTTAATTATCTTCGATTTTAATGTGAAACAAAATTTTAGAT